TGGGAATCAAACCCAGGTCCTCTGCAAGAGCATCCAGTGCTCTTAACCACTAAATTAGCTCTCCAGCCCAGGTGCCCCCCCCACCATTAGTTTGAAACTTTTTGAGTTTTAGGGCTGGAGAGATAACTCAGTTGGTAAAGTGCTTGTTATGCAAGCAAGAGGACTTGAGTTGGGATCCCTGGCACCCAGTGTAAAAACCTGAGTGTAGTGGCACCCTCTCTGTGCTGGAGGATCCTGGAACTTGCTGGTCAGCCAGTCTAGCCTAATTAGTGAGCTCCAGGATCAGTGAACTGCTGTCTCAAAAAATAAGGTTTGATAGGCAAAGGCACCTGCTACCAAGCCTGATGATCTCAGTTTGTTCTCTGGGACTCACACAGTGGAAGAAGAGAACCAACTACTGTAAGTTGTACTCTGACCTTCATACACAGCCTGTGGCATGTGCTTAATCCCAGCCATCGAATAAATGTAATTAAGAATTTTTTTAAAAAAGGCTGGAGAACATTGACAAAGACACCCAGTGTCGCTCTCTTGCCCCCCGCATGTACATATGTGTGCACATTCACGTGTGCACACACATAAAACTTGCCACCTTTTCAGTGTTAAGAGCCCAGAGTCAAGAAAGCCCTGAATGAGAGCTGGGAAAGATAAGTCTTTGCAGGAAAGGCGGAACTGTCCAAGGCCTGTTTACCTGGAAAAGGAAATTTAACTCTTGAATATAAGGGCAGCAGCAAACCTTTGAAATCTTTGGTGTGCCCCATCAGATATATGGCTTAGGAAGACCACATAGGCAAAAAATGGGAGGGACCAGCACTTGAGAGGAACAGTCCAGAGGTAGAATTGGCAACAATTGGAAGCATTTATACTGAATTGAGAGAAGAAGAAAGGAAAAAAGCCAGGATTTTGGTTGGATAGTAGTATCATTTTTTTTTTTTCCCCCAAATGTGTCTCATGTGTTACTGTATATAAGGGCCTAAAACTATTGGGCAGAATACACCATTCAGTTTATGTGGGTGGGTCTGTGGGCGACCATGAGTTAAGCTAAGGAACTCTGCCTTGCAGTAATGAATTAGATGAACTTTGCTGTTTTTGCTTTTAGCTGAGAAGAATAGAACTTTGTGTTCATCTAGATGAACTAGGTTGCTATGTCTTCTAACTTGATTTATTCTTTTACTTCTGTCGTATTTTTAACTAGAGCAAGCTAACTGGATTTAACAAAAGATAGGCGGTTATGTTAAATTATGAGCCTTAGTCTTCATATCCCTATTCATCCCCTTTTCAAAATGGTCACTTAATTTTTTTCTTTTAAAAGAGGGTGGTGCAGCCAGGCATGTCCAGCCCGTCCCATGGCCCTGGAGCCACATCCCACCAAGGGTGTTATGAATGAGCCTGACACAAATTGTAGACTTAAAACATCTGGAGAGTTCTTTATTTGTAAGTTGATTACACAGTTGTTGACAGTGTAGTACCCTGATGTCAAAAGGCTGACACAACTTTCGAGCCTGTGTAAAATAGTATAATTCTAAACATTTGAAGTTTTATTTCAGAGTCAGCCAAGATATCTTGGCAGTGTGGTGAAATTTTTGTTTTGAATTTAGAGAACTTTTGGACTTGATTGCAGTGGTGGATGTGGGTTTGACTTATACTGTTTTATGTAAATTTCAAAATAGATTTTTAGATTTCTACATGAAAAAATTTGCCCTTGGTTATAAAGTTTGGAAATGTTTAAAGTGGCCTTTAGGATCAGAATTCATTTTCACTTTCTCTAACTCATTAGCATTTGTATTCATCTCTGATCACTTGTCCTAAAGATAATTTTGTGATGTTTTTAAATTTTTAAAATCCTTCCAGCATGCTTTTTTTTGCAGTAATTTCTTCTGCCCATCAAAATCTTCTTTTTTTATTAATGTATGTATCAGTTCAAGTATATTTATCTGAGATTCTGGGTTAACATTTTGATCAAAGACGTAAGGAAGAGTTCAGAGTTATAAACTGTATTTGATACAGTTCTATAATTGGTAACAGAACATTTAAGAGTGTCAGGGACTCCAGAGGAAAAAAAAAAAAAAAAAAGCTGGGTGTGGTGGCCTTTAATCCCAGCAGAGGCAGGCGGGTCTTTGTGAGTTCAAGGACAGCCTGGTCTACAGGGAGACCCTGTCTCAAAAAGAACAACAACAACAAAAAGTGTCAGGGACTATTTGACTTCCTTATTTCATTTTGTTTTCCTAAGTAAGATGTTTTAGCCAGTAATGGGGTTGAATAGAAGTCTTGATTATAATTAGATTTCAGGGTTTATTTTATTTCTGATTTTTCATCTCTTAGTTATTTGAAGAAATTGTTGTTCTGAGGTGCCCTTGTAAGAATAGCAGTGGTAGCCATTTGGTTATTATGTGAAAAGTGCAACTAGGAAGCAGTTTGGTGCCTTCAAATTATTTCTGGCATTGTCTCTGTTCTTTGCCTGTTTGAAGGTATGCTTAAAAATATTGAGGACAGCTGGGCGTGCTGGCGCATGCCTTTAATCCCAGCACTCGGGAGGCAGAGGCAGGCAGATATATCTGTGAGTTCAAGGCCAGCCTGGTCTACAGTGAGTTCCAGGACAGCTGGGGCTACAGGGAGACCCTGTCTCAAAAAGACAAAATAAAATGAAATAGAATATTGAGGACAGTTTTATTTAAATGCAGCTCTTGAGCCTCGAGAGCTGGCTCAGTAGGTAAAAGCATTGCTGTACCAGCATGAGGACCTGAGTTTAGTTCCCAGCACCCATGTAAAATGCTGGGTGTGGTCTGTGCCCATGCCAGTAACTCCAGTGTGCGTGCGCATGCACACACATTCTCATCCCCCCCCCCACACACCTTGGGGATAGAAAGATGGCTCAGTGGTTTTAGAGCACTGACTGCCCTTACAGAGGACCCAGTTTTGGTTCCCAGTACCCACATGGGCAACTAACTCCAGTTCCAGGGAATGAATGCTGTCTTCTGGCCTCTGGGTTTGCATGCACGTGGTGCTCTTGCATACATGCAGGCAAAACACTCATGCATGTAAAATAATAAATTAAAAAATGTAGCTCTTGTTGGAACATTGAAAGTTTTCCTGTGAGTGTTTAAGCCCAGACTTATGATTAAACTCTATAGTTAAGGATTTTTTTTTAATGTTACTGAGTGACATAGTTTCTTATAAATATGCAAAAACACAAATGAATTAAACCTTAGGTAGAGGAACTGCTCAGACAATATGGCCAGCCACTTCTGCATCTTTCTATTGACCATCCTCTAGGACATGCTGAACACTACCACTTAAAACTAACTTTTCTTTTTAAGGGTTCCTGAAATTGTGCCTGCTGTCTCCAGGTCCACCCTGACCCCACAGCATAAACCATGCTGTGATGTCACAGCTATCATAGAACTCCAGGGTAGTGCCCATATGGGCTCAGGTAAGTCCTGGCTTTTTTTTTTAACCATTTGGCATTCTTTTCAAAGTTAGTTACCATTATGATTTTTATGTCATAAAGGAAAATAAGGCAAAACTTTGAAAACTGTGCCATATATGGGGGAAAAAATAAGTCTGTTACCTAAACATCTATGAGCCAGCTCCATATGCTAGCCAACGGAGTTCCATAGTAGCTGTGAAGTTCCCAGTGAGTTTCTGGCCTGTGGCTTCAAAATATGTTAAGCTTCACTTGGGCCCAGTTTATAGGACAGCGTGACAAGGGCTGCTGCTGTGGCTTTTTCAGTTTACTTAAGTCTCCATAATTTAAAAAGTACATTAACACCTTATCTCTGATTGCCACTAGTTAGCTAATCATGTAGCACATTCAGTCAGTTTTGAATGTATGATGGTCCTGTAGGTCACTTTGGAACTAATCTCAGAGTGCTTTCAGTTGTTTTCGTAGTACAAAGGAGGAAGAACAACACACAGCATGAGTTTGTTTAAATGAAAAGGATGCTAAGAAAAAGGTGCTTTAGTTACTTTTGGAGGCATTGCGAGTGGTTAGCCTGCAGAGCCTGTGTAGATTCTCCTTCTCTTAGACTGGTCGTTTGTAACACAGCATTTACTTGCTTTATTTTCTTGCTTACCAGCATATCTATTTCTTGCTTCTTTTATCCCTGATGGTAAAAGGTGCTAAAAACATGAAGAATTTGGGAACATCTTTGTAAATTTCTTTTTCTCTTCATATATTGTTTTACCTTTGCTCCCCCTCCCTAAGTAGAAAGCATTGAGTGGCTGAAGTTTACATGAATGTGAGCCAGGTCTTTTTACACTTAAGCCTACAGTGGAGATTGTGTATAAAGGAACTCCTAACCTTCATCAGCAGTTCTTTTTGCACAGTGTGCAGTAAAACACAGGAAGTTTGCACAGCTCAGTGGCACTCTATGAACGCTGATCTGTGATAAGTTTACTGATTTTTTTAGTCATCTCTCCAGCCCCTACTATTACTTTTGTTTGTTTGTTCGTTTGTTTTTTTGTCCTTTTGAGACAGGGTCTCCCTATGGTCCCAACTGGCTTGAAACTCGCTATGTAGACCAGGCTGGCCTCGAACTCACAGAGATCTGCCTGCCTCTGCCTCCCAAGTGCTGGGACTAAAGGCATGTGCCATCACGCCCGGCAAATTTACTAATTCTTGTAGCAGAAAATTCACCAGTCACTGAAAATATGAGCTTGTGTGGTTAATGAAAATGATGAAATTACCTATTCCCAGAGCATTAGACAGTAAATTATTTTAAAAATAAAGTTTTGTTCCTATACTTCTGTGTTGCTTGTGGCTGGGAAAGCTGGAGAGGTCTTCTGCCTCCTGTGCATGCGTTTAGTCTATGCTAGAACAGCACAGCTCCTCTTCAGTTTAGTGAAGACTGAGTGGGAGGAGAGAATTCAGTGTTGATGCTGGGTCAGGTCAAATGGAAATCCTGCCTGTGTTTCTGTGTACATGACTCAGCATATTGAGATGTGATTTGTGTACCATGGTGTTCAGTATTTAAAGTTATGTTTATATTTTTGAAAGAACTTACTATAAAGGCAGGCAGTATTGTAAATTATAGCTCCCAGGCATAGTCTGCACACTTCAGTTGGCCAACTGGTTTGCCATCTTCCTGCCCAAGTGCCACTGCTAATTCCAGAAATCCTTCAGAAACATTAGTGAGGAAGTGAAGTCTTAAAAGTTTTTAAGATGAGGGACTGGAGAGATGGCTCAGCAGTTAAAGCGCACTGGCTGCTTTTGCAGAGGACCGGGGTTCAATTCCTAGCATCCATATGGTGGCTAACAACTGTCTATAATTCCAGTTCCAGGGGCTCTGACGCCCTCTTCTGACCTCCATGGGCATTGCATGACATGAGTGCACTTATCTATATGTAGGCAATACACATTAAATAAAGGTAATAAGGATCTGGAGAGATGGCTCAGGGGTTAGGTTAAGAGCACTGGCTGCTCTTGCAGAGGACCTCGGTTCAGTTCCCAACACCTACATGTCAGCTAACAGCCATCTATAACTCCAGCTCCAGGGAATCCAATGCCCTCTTTTGACCTCTAACGGTCATGACACGAATGCACTTAACACATGCAGGCAATACATTCATAAAATAAAAACAAATGAATAAAATATTAAAAAAGCCGGGCGTGGTGGTGCACGCCTTTAATCCCAGCACTCAGGAGGCTGAGGCAGGTGGATGTCTATGAGTTTGAGGCCAGTCTGGTCTACGTAGTGAGTTCCAGGCCAGCTGGGGCTACAAGGAGACCCTGTCTCAAAAAAAAAGACCAATAAATAAATAAATAAAATATTTTAAATTTTTTAAAGATGAGATTCTTATAGATTTCAGCTGTATAGTAGAGTAGTTTGGCGAAAGCATAAAGGCAGTAATTTAGATTTTCCCCTCCAACCCAAAGAAGAAAATCCCTGAGTATTTTGCTTTAGGTTACCTTATATTTGTGTTTGGGAAAAAAAAAGTATTTGAACACATGCAGTGACTAAAAGCAGTGCCATCATACCTGGCTCTGAGTAATATATATTTTTTAACTGATAATATTTTTATTTATTTTTAAAAATATCTCTATTTTATGAATGTATTACCTGCATGTATGTAAGTGCACTTGTGTCATGCAATGCCCACAGAGGTTGGAAGAGGGTGTGGGATCCCCTGGAACTGGAGTTGTGGACAGTTGTTAGCTGCCATGTGGATGCTGGGAACCAAACCTGGGTCCTCTGCAAGAGCAGCCAGTGCCCTTATCCGCTTAGCCGTCTCCAGATATTATTTTTAGATTTAAGCTAAAAACTGTAAAAGGTTCAGAGATGCAGCTTTGGGTTTTCTTCTCATGTTGGGGATCAAACCCAGTGCCTCACAATTGCTAGGCAAACACTCTACTGCTGAGCTATGCGGCAGCTTGCTTCTGGCTCTGATAGAACTGAAGGGGAAAATAGTTGTCTAGGCAAAGAAATGCTGTAGAGTACATGCCTGTAGTCTCAGCACTTGAGAGAATAAGGTAGGAGGATGGCCTCAATTTTGAGGCCATCCTGGGGTTTACACACTGAGTTCTGGGTTGACTTTGGCTACATTGTGGCTACCAGTTTCTTTTTCGTTTCTTTTTTTTTTTTAATTTTTAAAAAATGTTTTAAAATTAGTTCCACCACTTACCCATATTATTTTTATTTTATGTGTATGAGTGTATTGCCTGCATGTATGTGAGTGCACCTGTGTTGTGCAGTGTTGCAGAGGTCGGAAGAGGGCTTTGGATTCGCCTGGAACTGGAGTTAAGGATGGTTCGTAGCCTCCATGTGGGTGCTGGGACTCGAACCTGGGTCCTCTGCAAGAGCAGTCAGTGCTCTTAACCACTGAGCCATCTCTCCAGCCCCTGTGAGTACTAATTTCAAACAAAACACCTGTAGAAACAAAAGGAGATGGGATGAGTGTGTCCAGTATAATATAAACTGTATTGAATTATTTTAAAAACTGTGGGCCTTTGAGGTGGTTTCTATGAATTAAAACAAGTTAATCAGTGCCATTCGTGGTGTTGAATGCCTTTAATCCCCCACTCAGGAGGCAGAGGCAGGTGGATCTTTGTGAGTTCTAGGCTAGCTGGGACTTACAGGGAGACCTTGTCTGGAAAAGACCAAAGTGGGAGAGGGACACCAAGTTAAGCAGAAGTTTTTTTTTTAGAGCTCTTTGTGTGCTTGAACATAACTAGAGATAGAAACTCTTTAATTATAGGTGATTTTAATTCAAGTAGTACTTCTTATGTCTCTTCACAAGGCTTGTGCTTTGGGAAGATTTAGTTCCTTGTTTTATGCCAGCTGTACTGCGTTTTGGCCCTAATGACTTTTATTTAGGGCACTGTTCTTCCTAAGGGAGCTTTGAAGCCTTTTATGTAAGCAGTGAATTAGGGGTGAAATTATAGCTGAACTTTTGTGTATGTTGCAAGGAATGTGTTGAGTCAAAATACAAATTAAGATTTCTGTAAGAAGATATTTTCATTTATTTAATAAAGGAAGATTGTAGTTGATTGGTTTTTGTTTCTGTGGTGCTGGAGATTGAACCAGGACTTCATACATGCTTAGCAAAATATCGTCCACTGAGCTTCACACCCAATCCAAATAATTGTGGGTTTGTTGCTTTAGAGGTGAAGGTCACACTGTTGTCGCTTTGGCTCTTCTCACTTTCCTAGGCTCATGGGATTCCTTTTTGTCTAAGCCTCTTAAGTACCAGGACATAGGTCTGAAGCATCATGCCTTCTTTCTCATGAGTTCTTAACTGGAAAAATTTGTATAAACATGCTGGAGTGTGGGTTGGGGGAAAGAGATTTAGATTTGTAAGAAAGATTATGATTCTAGAGTTGGAAAACTTTGGAAACTGGCCTTTGCACCCCCACAGTTGTGACTAAAAAGGACATTAGTGAATGTAGTCAGGGTTATATGTCTTGGTGTTCCTCATATTGCTTAGCATGGTGCTTGGAATGCTATGAACATTTAGTAACTGTAGAGTTAAATAATCATTGTTTAAAGAGAGGACTGTTGGTTGTGTTACACTACTTTTTAAGAGTATCCTTATTTTAGTTCCTAATTCAAAATGGCAACTAAAATGCTTTTTAAAAAGCATACTAAGACTATTTTTAGTTAATCTTAGCATTTTACTCAGCACACAGTTTTTTTTCTGATACAGATTAGAAAACAACAGCAAACATTATTTGGTCATGTAATCTTTATTTTTGTTCTTGTTTTGGTTTTTGTTCCTTTTTTTGCAGGGGGGGGGACTAATGTGCCTTTCTATTTTATTTTTTTGCCAAGGCTGTTTATTATTCATATAGTTTAGTGAACATTGTCTTTATTTAGTATTTATATTAACATTAATAAGATGTTTTAATGGGAATGGATGGATAGTTTTGGGCTCTTTTAAATTTTTTATTTTTATTTTATGTCTATGCATGTAAGTAAGTGCCCCTGAGTCGTGCAATGCCCACAGAGGTGCTGTTGGATCCCCTGGGACTGGAGTTACGGACAGTTGTTAGCTCCCATATGGGTGCTGGGATTCAAACCCAGGTCTTCAAACCCAGTGTTCTTAACCACTGAGCCATCTCTCCAGCCCCTGGCTTTTTTTTTTTTTTTTTTTTTTTTTGAGAGACAAGATCTCTCTATAGCCCTGGCTGGCCTGGCATTGCCTTGTAGACCAGGCTTGCTTTGATCTCACAGAGATCCACCCTGCCTCTGCCTCCTGAGTGTTGGAATTAAAGGCATGTGGCATTATGCCCACTGGCAATGGATAGTCTTTAAAATATTTTATTTTTATTTTATGTGTATGAGTGTTTTGTCTGCATGTATGTAAGTACACTGTGTGTCAATGCCTGTGGAGGCCAGAAGAGGGCATTAGATCCCCTGGAACTTGAGTTAACAGGTGATTGTTAGCTGCCCCATGCCGGGAACCGAACTGAACTGGCTAGTTCTCTGCAAGAGCAGCCAGTGCTCTTAACTGTTGAGCCATCCCTTCAGCCCTAAGGAATGGAAAATCTATGGCTTTGAAAAAAGGGTATTTATTTTATGCTCCTTATTGGTTTGTAATATTTTAGCATGCTCAAAATCATTGGGTACATTTTTTTCCTTTATTAACAGTTATACCCTCCCCTCCTTTTTGAGACAGACTCGTAACTCTTTGTTGACCAGGCTAGCCTCATAGAGGTCTGCCTTCCTTTGCTTCTGCCTCCTGAGTACTGGGAATAAAGACATGTTGGCACATGTCTGGCATACCCACTTTCTTTATTGATATATTGTCTTTCTCACCCAGGCTGGCCTGGAATTCACTGTGTAGCTCAGGCTTGCTTAGAATTCACTGTCCTCCTGCCTTTACTTTCTAAGTGCTGGGAGTTCAGGTATGCACCAAAACTCACAGCTGTTATTAACCGTTTGTAAAGGATGTTAAAGAAGTCTTAGCTGTGGGAGATTCTGAAATCAAAGCACTGCCAGTTTTTACTTGAAATGATAATGATTTCAGAGCTACACAACATGTAGAAAACTCGGCATTTGCTTTGATTCCGCTTTAAAAGTGTAGAGTATAGGGCTGAGCATCCTAACACCAACTGGAAACACAAGTGTCTCCTTAAGTTCTGTGGTCTCTGGATGAACGCAGAGTTGCAAGGCTCTTGTCTTCTTAGTTTCTTGAACTAGGTTCTCCTTACCCATCTTTGATCTGCTTGCTACATTCTTTTCAAGCCTGCCAGAGCATGGAACTCAGCTGTTATGGTAAGTGCCAAACTAGGCAATCTAGTTCTGGAAAGAAAATTTGAAAAGATAGGAAAATACTAATTTGCCTTATTTTCTCTAGGCTATTTAAATGATGTCCCAGGATCCAGGAAACACAAAACAATGCTTAAAGAATTTGGCTTGGTTGGTATAAGTTTATAGCTTTTGAAGAAACATAGAATTAAGTGCTTTTCTATCTTGGTGCTTGTTTCAGGGGTTGTAGAAGGTGATTTAGCAGCCATAGAAGCATTTAAGTCATCAGGAGGAGACATTGCACGTCAGCTCACCGCAGATGAAGTTCGCTTGCTGAACCGTCCTTCTGCCTTTGATGTTGGCTACACGCTGGTACACTTGGCAATACGTTTTCAGAGGCAGGATATGCTAGCAATATTGCTTACAGAGGTGAGTGTGGCATTCCAGTTAAATGTTCTTTTATTTCTTGCAGTGCTAGGGATGGAACCCAGGCTTTTATGTATGTTACTACTGAACTACGTCACAGCCCTTAAATGTTCTTTTATATCCAAGAAATAAGTTCTTTAGTTTTCCTTTTCATTGTGCCACTGGGGATTGAACCTAGGGCTTCGTGCATGCTAGGCAATGCTTTACCATTTGTGCTATGTCTCCAGCCGGGTTTCCATTTTCAGTGTTACAGTGCTTCCCTAAACAGTTCTTTAATGTCTTAAACACTTTTACAACTCCTTTAAAAAATCATTTTAAGAGATTTCAGTAGGTTTTGTTTGTTTGTTTGGGTTTTGTCTGTTTTTGAGACAGGATCATCATGTAGCCGAGGATGAGATTGATATGTAGCCAAGGATAACCTTGAATTCCTGATCCTTCTATCTCTACCTCCCAGGTACTTAGATTATTATAGGCCTGCCTTACCATGCTCCCTTTTTTCCATTTTTTCTCCGATGAGGTGTTACTGTGTTGCCAAGGCTGGCCTTGGATCTTCTAGACTGAAGTGATCTTGCTTCAGCCTCCTGAGTTGATCAGCTACCTGTGTACACTCCCCACCCCCAAGAGTATATTCTTTTTTTTTGTCTTTTTGAAGCAGAGTCTTCCTGTAGCCCCAGCTGTCCTGGAACTCACTTTGTAGACCAGGCTGGGCTTGAACTCACAAAGGTCCGCCTGCCTCTGCCTCCCAAGTGCTGGGACTACAGGCATGCGCCACCATGCCTGGCTAAGAGTATATACTTTTAAAGCAGGAATTTTCTCCACAATATTTTAATCATTGTGTTTGATTAAAACACAATGGAATGTATCTGTTATTCAGTCATTGAACTAAGAAATATTTATGTAGTATTTAGCAAATGTCTAAGGAGTGAGTAGAAGTCATCCATGTGAAGTATGCTGGGGAAGAATCAGAGTTGAGGAGACCATTTATGCAGAGATAAAGGATCATATCCCCATGGGCCAGGGATGTGGCTTTATTATCCAGATTTTTTTGTGTGAGAAGAGAAGTAAGAATAATAAAAGTGCAGAGAATTAGATGATTGTGGATTCAGATTTTTGTCACCATACATACTTCTGGGCATACTTTATGTACATTGTTTATTGTATTTTGAAATGTACCAGTATTTGGGAACCATTATGTACAGGACACTGTATCTATGAGGGTTAAAAATGTGCAAAATAGATGAAAACAATTTTGGCCAGCTTCTGTGTTTGCTTTGGGAGGATTCCAGTGACATCAGGGGAAAGGGTGGGTAGACTCAGGGAAGAGAGGTTAGAGTGCCTGAATGCTGTGATGGAAACGGTAGGCAGGTATGCTACAGAAGGGCACTGCTAACGGGTCAGTGTGAGTTGAGGGACCAGATTTCTGGCACAAGAGGTGAAATAGTGTGTTTCTGTGATGTTCTCAGTGTGGCTGCATTGGTATTACTGTATCCAGTTGAACTGTTTCATGTCAGGGGGCATCTTTTTGATGGTGCAGCTGCTGATGGTGGCAGGAGACAAGATAGAGAAGGTGACTGTGGGCCAGGGTTAAAGTTTTTAGGCTGTTCATGTTTCCTTGGGCTTCTGAGCACAGGGCTCAAAAGGGACATCCTAAGTCACAGGACACCTAAAAGCAATATGAGGACTAACAGTGGGATGGTGCTATGGTATCTGTGTACCATTATTGTAAAGTACCTGAAAATTTAGTTACTAAGACAAACATTTGTTACCTTAAAACAGTTTTCAAGAATCGGGAATCGCGATTTTGGGTAAAGAAATCATGAGGGTGGCAGAGCTAAAAGACTGGGTTGGTGGGAAAAGTGCTTGCCATGTGAGTATGAGGATTGAGATTGGATCTTCGGCACCTCCTAAATGCTGGCAGGTGTAGTGACCAGACTACAGTCCCAGCACTCAAGAGGTGAGTCAGGATTCTAGGGCAAGCTTCCTCACTAGACCAGCCAGATTGATAGATGCCAGGTTCAGTGAGAGACCTTTACTTAATAGAATAAGATGGAGAGCCATTGATGAAGACAGGTGACCTCAGTTTGTTGACACACACACACACACACACACACAGAGTGTTGTCAAGCTACTGGCCAGTGCTCTCTCTGGTTGGAAATCTTGATTGAGGCTGAGTGTGGTGGCACATGCTTGCAATTCCAGCACTCTGGAGGCAGAGGCAGAAGCAGAGGGATTTCTGTGAGTTCAAGGCCAGCTTAGTCTACATAGTGAGTTCAGGGCCAGCCAGAGCTACACAGTGAGACCTTGACTTGGGCTAGAGGGCTGTTTCCAAAAGCTCACTGAGGACTGTTGGCTAGAGGCTTCCGTTCCTGCCTGTATCTTGTCCATAGGGGCTGCTCCTGACATGGCCGCTGGCTTTACCTGAAGCAGGTGATTCAGGAGAGGGAAAGTACAGTACTCAGGAATGTGATTAAAACTGGAAGCTGTGGTGTCTCTTATGAACCAGTTGAGGAAACTTCACACACACTGTCAGTTTTACCATATTCTCTGGGGCATGTAGACCAACCTGGGTACAGCATAGGTGAAGCAGAGAAGGAACTGCGGGTCAAGAACCAAGTTGTTGATGGACTTTAGTCTCAGCGGAGTAGGTACTCCAAAAAGCAGTGTTATAGGGACTCAGGGAAGCTACAAAGGTGTAGGATATGAATCTGGCTTAAGAGGCTGTGTCTACAGAGAAAGCACAGGGCCAAGTTCTTTTGGAATGAGAATAAGAGAATACTGAATTTGGGTTAGGATTCTGGGGCAAGGGTTGTCATTGATTTTATGTCATGGACCTGGTGGGGTCTGCTGGGACCTGTAGGACTCTTTAAAAATTGTTTGTAAGTGAAAGCAATTATAAAGGAAATCTAGTTAGTGAAATACAGCCATTAAAACAGTTAACCACGGCCGGGCGTGGTGGCACACGCCTTTAATCCCAGCATTCCAGAGGCAGAGGCAGGTGGATCTCTGTGAGTTCAAGGCCAGCCTGGTCTACATAGTGAGTTCCAGGACAGCTGGGGCCACAGGGAGACCGTGCTTCAAAAAGACAAAAAAAAAAAAAAAAAGTTAACCTGATTTGTGACTTATAAGAAAATGGGTGTGTATGCATGTTTGCCTACCTGCCTGTCTCTTTGTCTGGCCAGGCTGGCTTCAAAGTTACAATCCTTCATCTCCTGAGTGCTGAGATAACAGTCTTGTGCCAGCACGTTCACTACAAGAAAATGCTGTTTACTGTGGGCTGGAAGCTAGTGAAAAAGGGTTTAAATTTAATTAAAACAAAATTCTCATTTAATGAAGTTCATGGATCTCAGGTTAAGAACCAGTAACCTAAGGAGAATGGTTGGGAATCCTAACATTTAAGAAGGGAGATAAGAAGCAAGGTCTAGAAGGACTGTAGTGAGGGGGGAATGCTTAGGTTTCTCTTGAACTCTTTGCCATATTCAACGTCCAGTCCACATTATTTTTCAAAAAGAATTTACTTTGGGTATTTATATTAGAAATGCTATCTGAGAAAGAGTCAATTATATTCTGAAAATATTTGGTGCTTAATTTCTTATTTTGAGTTGCTTGATTGTTGTGTTTCTGGAGTTAAGATGTAGTAAGAGGCGCTGGAGAGATGGCTCAGTGGTTAAGAGCACTGGCTGCTCTTTCAGAGGATCCAGATCCCAGCACCCATGTGGTAGCTGACAACCATTCATAACTTTAGTTTCAGGGGATCTGACACCCTCTTCTGGCCTCTGTGGGTGTTGCATGCACGTTTCACTTACATACATGCATGCCAAAACACTCATAAGATAAAAATAAATAAAAATTTAAAGTGTAATGAAAAATTTCATAGTTGCTAGTAATCCTAGTCAGTAATGTCTGGTAGAAATGAATTTTCATGTTGAAGCTTTCAAAAGGAGGAGTCAGGTAGCTGTGTCCTTAGTTCTGTTTACTTTAATAGCAGTTGCAGTTAAATTGGCCTGAGTGCTAGTATTAGAAGTGTGTGCCATCATTCCCTGTTCAGACATGGATTTCTTGAGCTCCACAAACTAAATATAACTGGGGTGCCAAGTGGAATCCTTATCATCTGTTGCTATTCATCATTTAAAAAGGGGAAGAATGTAAACACCTGTAGTTGTATTTTTTTCCTTGAGGCCACTACTGGCCAGCTAGCCATAGTGTTCACATCTCACTCCTGTCTAGTTGAACTTTGAAGACTGTCCATCTGTTTAAAATTGGGATACCAATTGAAAGCTCTTTTTGAAATCTATTATATGAAAATTCATTTCTACCAGACATTACTGACTAGGATTGCCAGCTGGCCTTACCAAAAAAGTTTGTGTGTGAGAGCATATGAATGAATGAATGCAGGTATGCCTGTGCATAGATAGCATTTGTGTGGGGGTCGAAAGGACAGACTCAACCTTGTTTGAACTAGAGGTTTTTTTTTTTTTTTTTTTCCTGGTCTTTTGAAGCAGGCCCTGTAGCCCCAGCTATCCTGGAACTCAGGCTGGCCTTGAACTCACAGAGATCCACCTGCCTCTGCTTCCCAAGTGCTGGGACTACAGGCATGCGCCACCATGCCTGGCTAGAGTTTCTTTTTTTTTAAAAAAAAATTATTTATTTATTCGTTCGTTTAATATGTTTATGAGCATTTTTGCCCACATATATGTAAGTGTATCCATGTTGTGCAACACCTGCAGATCCCTTGGAACTGGAGTTATGGACAGTTGTCAGCTGCCATGTGTGTGCTGGGAATTGAACCCAGGTCCTCTGGAAGAGAGCAGTCAGTGCTCTTAACCCCTGAGCCATCTCTCCAGCCCATGAACTAGGGTTTCTTGTTCAGTGTAGTTTGTGCCAAGCTAGCTGGGTTACAGTTCTCCCATCTCCACCTCCCATTTCTCCACGGGAGAACTGGGATAAAAGATGGGAGCTGCATTGTCCAGCTTTACATGGGTTCTGGGAATCCCAGCTGAGGTTCTCACACTTGCAGGATTTTACCCACAGAGCATCTCTCTAGCCTACCAGGTGCTTTTTAAAAAATATGGAGTGGTCACAACTGAGTTGGAGAAAGGAGTTTTTGAAGCCAATGGGAACTAACCTGCTAAATGGCATGCTTTAAAAAAACATTCCAAGTCAGGTTTTTTTTTTTTTTTTTTTTTTTTTTTTTGAGGTAGGGTCTTCCTGTAGCCTCAGCTGGCCTAGAACTCTTTGTGTAGTCTAGGCTGGCCTCAATCTCACAAAGATCCGCCAGCCTCTGTCCCCAGAGCCTTGGGATTAAAGGAGTTTACCACTACTCCTGTCTTCCAAGTCAGGGTTCATGAAATGCAAAAGAAAATGTTTGCAAGTTTTTCTTTCTCTTTATGGGCAGGAATTATTTTTTAGAATATTTTAAACCTTTTTTGTTGTGGTGATGGGTATGTGCATGTGAATGCAGTGAAGGCCAGAGTTGTGGGGTGGGGTTCCCCTGCAACTGGGTGTTACTGGCAATTGTAAACCATCTGATAATGGTTGCTGGGAATTGAACTTCGTTCCTCTGAAAGAGCAGGAAGCAGTCTTAATCACTGAGCCATCTCCTTAGTTCCTTTAAGAATATTTTTATTGGGTGTGTGATGGTCGGTCTGTCAGGTTTTCTGTTGTTTCTTCTGCGTTGTCCATTCTGAACCATAACCTTTAAAAACAGCATTTTGGGGGCATCTTTGACTATCCTTTGGGCATCTTTGGGACAAACGTGAAGTAGATTTATTAGAGCAAGGTAAAACATCTTAGTGACTTTTCTTGAGCAGTTGTATTGATAATATATATGTCCACATAAGGAAATAATACTTAAACAAAACCAACAATTCTGAGTTTGGGGGAAATTTTGCTGATTCCCTTAAGCACTGTTGTGTTTTGTTTCTGTTTGTGATAAATGAGATGCACAGGGAAGTTTGTTTCTGTGTTTAAGGTGTCTCAACAAGCAGCAAAGTGTATTCCAGCAATGGTGTGTCCTGAACTGACGGAACAAATCCGGAGAGAAATAGCTGCTTCTCTTCACCAGAGAAAGGGGGATTTTGCGTGCTATTTTCTGACTGACCTCGTAACATTTACATTGCCAGCAGGTAACCCTACAGTTTAATAGGAAAATCAACTTCTGTTTTTATAGTTATGTTTTTATGCAGGGGTAATAGATCTTTTTCTAAGAAAGCAAATGAGTTAAGATCTTAAATAACTGTCCTGTTTATGCTCGAAGTGACTAATACAAGGGCCACTTGTAAACAGGTGCTTTGGTTAGAAGACAGTAAGTGATTCTTTGGGGGCCGGCTGTTTAAAGAAAAGTCTCACTCTGTAGCTCAGGCTAGTCTAGAACTTGTGTGATCCTCTTATTTTACTCCCCCCGAGTACTGGAATTACAGACATGAGTCACCACGCCTCCTTAGATTTTTGTTTTTTTAATATTTTATTATTTTTATTTTACATGTATGTGTGTTTTGCCTGAATGTATGTAAGTTCACAATCTGTGTCCTGCAATGCCTGAAGAGGTCAGAAGAGGGAGTTCGATGCCCTGGAACTACAGTTAGGATGGTTGTTAGCCACTATGTATGTGCTGGGAATCAAACCCAGGTCCTCTGCAAGAGCATCCAGTGCTCTTAACCACTGAGCCATCTCTCCAGCCCCTGATTTTTGTTTTTTAAGTAACGTATTTTATCCATTCATTTTTCCTCTTTATTTTTATTTTGGAGCATTCTTTTTTTGCCTCCTATTTTTATTATTCCCTTTATTTTCATGTGTATGATTTTGCACTTACATAACTATTGACTATTATTAAGGATTAGTATAAAAAATAAAATAAAAAAAGAAGAAAGAAAAAAATTTTAAGCAGGCCCGGGCGTGGTGGCACATGCCTTTAATCCCAGCACTTGGGAGGCAGAGGCAGAGGCAGGCGGATCTCTGTGAGTTCAAGGCCAACCTGGTCTACATAGCGAGCTCCAGGCTAGCTGGGGCTACAGAGAGATCCCTGTCTCAAAAAGACTTAAAAAAAAAAAAAACAAAAAACCCAAACTCCCAGGATGCCTTTTGTGAATTGGCATTGAATACATACACCAAACATAATGCTTTTTTTTTGAAAAAATAAAAGTTCATCTGGTATCTGTTTTGTATTCAGTTATAAAAGGGCATTTATACATGGGAAGGGTTAATAACGAAGCTTTTTATTTATTTCTTTTTATTTTAGTCTTTTTGAGACAGGGTCTCGTGTAGCCCCAGCAGTCCTGGAACTCACTGTGTAGTCCAGGCTGGCCTTGGAACTCACAGAGATCTGCCTGCCTCTGCCTCCCGAGTGCTGAGATTAAAGGGGTGCACCACGATACTCTGCTTAATAATGCTTTTTAAATTTTATACATTGTATTGAAATATGCTATAAAGTACTCTCAAGTAATGGCTAGATTTTAAAATTTTTTTATTATTGCATTTAGCTATTGTACGTGGGGGTGCTGTGCCTGCTAGGAACAGCATGTGTGTGGAAGTTGAAGGACAACTGTGGAAGGTGGTTCTCTCCTTCCATCATGTGGGTTCTAGGCATTGAACTCAGGTTGTCAGGGATAGTGGCAAGTAACTTCACCTACTGTGCCATCTTGCTGATCCACTATTAGATTTTTTTGTTTTTTGAGAAAGGGTCTCCGAGACAGGGTCTCCCTGTAGCCCCAGCTGGCCTGGAACTCACTATGTAGACCAGGCTGGCCTCGAACTCACAAAGATCCGCCTGCCTCTGCCTCTCAAGTTATGGGATTAAAGGTGTGCACTACCATGCCTGGCTCCGTGACTAGATTTTTGAGAATACGAATACAAAATGACATTATAAAAGAAAAACCAATAAAAACATGCTTTTAAGGGCAATGCTTTGTACTAGACTAGAGTGCTCTGTTAAGTAACCTGAATAGAGAGCACAGAGTATTTGAGGATGGTGACAAAAATACTGTGTGCCAAATGCATGGCTCGTTAGTTTTGATGACAAAATACTTAGGTTTGAAAGCAGGTTTGTGCAGAAGCTGCCATTGGGAGGAGACAAAACAAATAAAAATGTGTATGTTATTGTGGGCCTATACCTTATTTTTTAATATTATTTTTATTTTATGTGTATGAGTGTATTGCCTGCTGCATGTATGTGAGTGCACCCATGTCATGCAGTGCTGCGGAGGTCAGAAGAGGGCTTCGGATTCCCCTGGAACTGAAGTTTAAGATGGTTCGTAGCCGCCATGTGGGTGCTGGGAATTGAACCCAGGTCCTCTGTAAGAACAGTCAATGCTCTTAACCGCTGAGCCATCTCTCCAGCCCCTATACCTTATTTTTTATGTTAACTTTAAGAATTTTGGTAGTGAAATCCAAAAAGGAATATCTATATCTCTATCTATCTATCTATCTATCTATCTATCTATCTATCTATATCTATCATCTATCTATCATCTATCGAGATAGATAGATAGATAGATAATATATATCACATTACATATAACATTGAAAACAGGTATCTGACTTTCTTCAGTAGAAAGGGAGTTATTTTAGGGAACATTATCATTAGAAGCATCATTTAACTTACTAAGTTATGATTCAGAAGAACCCCTTTAAGGTCTGATTTCTCTGTGCAGATATTGAAGACTTGCCTCCAACAGTCCAAGAAAAATTATTTGATGAGGTGCTTGATAGAGATGTACAGAAAGGTAAGCCTGCAATTGCTGTAGTTTAACTTTTTAGTTAACTTTTATAGTGGTTAACTTTTGCTTTTTTTGGAGTGTGGGGGCTGAGACAGGGTCTCTTTGTATCCCCAGCTGGCCTGGCACTCGCTGTGTAGACCAGGCTGGCCTTGAACTCACAGAGATCGCCTACCTTTGTCTCCCAAATGCTGGGAGTAAAGGCACGTGCCACCACACCTAGCTCAACATTTGCCATTTTTATAAGGTAGGAAGTAGTTTACTGTAGTTAAGAGTGCTTTGTTTTAAAGTAAACCTATAGAGTCCTTAAGAGTAGTGCCACAGTGGTTGTATATGCAAGGCCCTGGATTTGATCCTCAGCATACAAAATCAAAACTGCAAAACAAAACACACTCACAGCTTTTAACCATCATAGAGTGAACAGAAAGAGATAGCAAGTCTTAAAACCTTTGTTTACTACTACTTACTTGAGACTGAATATATTTCTGTGTTAAACATGTTTGGAAAATAAAATTGGAAGTTGAATAAATTATCCCTGAGTCACAGGATGTTTCACTCACTCAAAAAGTTTGTATTAGAAGCTGGGTGTGGTGGCGCACACCTGTAGTCCCAGCACTTGTGAGGCAGAGGCAGGTGGATCTCTGTGAGTTCAAGGCCACCCTGGTCTACATAGTGAGTTCCAGGACAGCTGGGGCTACAGGGAAAAGAAGTTTGTATTAGTAACTTGCATGTAAATTTTGTAGAAAATGTTTTTAGCCTGCTAAATACTTTTTCATTATATAGGTATAAAAACTAACAGGTTATTTAATTTTCTTACAGAGCTAGAAGAAGAATCTCCAATTATAAACTGGTCCTTGGAGTTGGCTACACGTTTGGACAGTCGACTGTATGCACTTTGGAACCGGACAGCAGGAGATTGTTTACTTGACTCAGTACTACAAGCTACCTGGGGCATTTATGACAAAGACTCGGTGCTTCGGAAAGCCCTACATGACAGTCTGCATGACTGTTCACATTGGTGAGCTGGTGTCTTTCCTTGTTTCACTGCAAAATCGCGTTTGCTGGATCATTTCCTTACAGGAGCCGTACGCTGTACTACGCGCGCACGCATGCATGTATATTGAAAAATATTTTAAAATTATGTTTGTGTGCACATGAGTGCAGCGGAGGGCAGGGACATTGGATCCCCTGGAACTAGAGTTACAGGTGGCTGTCTGCTGCCTGCCATGGATGCTGGGAACTGAAAACTTCAGTCCTCTGCAAGAACTGTATGTACTTTTTTACAATTGAGCCGTATGTTTCTCCAGGCCCCTTGCTCTAATGTTTTCCATGGAAGCTATGAAAATACTTTGGTTTTGGATATGTAGACATTAAATACCTTAGTGGATTTTTTCTTTAGCTTAGCATTGAAGTAGATACATTTGAGGCAGCAAAATACTTCAACAGAACCTTTTTTCTTTATAGGAAATGGAATCAATGTATTTCTATACTTCGAATACAGCATTATAAGTTTAGTTAACCTTAAACATTCATACAGTCTTTACTTGTGATTTTAAGTACTTAACAATTTCATGTTTAACTTTAGATTATGTTGATACTGTATTACCAACTGAACTCTTTTTCTTCTTGAGGGAAAGAGTGTTAAATCTCATTTTACAAATTTGCAAATACTGTATTAGCAACTGAACTCTCTTTTCTTCTTGAGGGAAAGAGTGTTAAATCTCATTTTACAAATTTGCAAGGCACAGATACCTGCCTTCAGATAAACGAAGGCCGGAGATCCCAGTATCCATCTCCTTTGCTATTATTAGATTGACCAGTGGTTAACATTTCACCACATCTGTGTTATCTACCCATGCTTGCTCTCCTGTACCAGTTAGTCATGGATAGCCTTCATTTTAATATGCATCTTTACAGAATAAGATATTAGTTTTAGCTGCAACCCCAGAAAGTCAACATTGATTTATCTACCCAGCACACAGCCCATCCACATTTTTCCAGAATGGCCTCTATGTAGATACATTTTTACCAAGAATCCAATCAACCTTTGATGTATAAATTAACTTAGGAAATGCCAGGCACTGGAGAAAATGACTGCTTCTGAGCAGTTCTATTTTTTGTTTCTGTGACATTATCTCATGTAGCTAGTAAAAGAACTTACTTGTGGGACTGGAGAGATGGCTTAGTGTTAAAAACACGGACTGCTCTTGCAGAGGACCCAAGTTTGAGTCCCAGCACCCACATGTTGGTTAACAACTGTCTGTAACTCCAGTTCAAGGGGATCCGACGTCCTCTTCTGATCTCTGCAGGCATTGCATACACAGTGTACTTATAACATGCAGGCTCACGCACACACAGAAAATAAAAATTTAAAAATATTTAAAAATTTATGTGTGTGTCTGTGTCTGTGTGTACGCATACCATATGCATGCCTGGTGCCCTTAGAGGCATAGAACTGGAGTTAGAGCTCATTGTGAGCCATCTCATGTGAGTGCTGGGAGCTGAACCCAGGCCCTCCGCAAGAAGCAAGTGCTCTTAACTGCTGAACCATCTCTCCAGCCTTCACTTAGCTATCTTTTTGTAAATGATAAAATCAAGGCTCAAAGAAGCCTAATTGAATTTCTCGTTATTACAATTAGCAGAAATCATTAAAAAAATTCATGCTGGTTTTCTCCATATCAGTATCACAGTGACTTTTTCTCCTATGATCAGATGCTTACAAATAATGCTCACGATTCTATATTCCATATAACCCTACTAGTATCTTAATTTTGTTGAGTACTTACTAGTTGTGAATTTTGTTATCATATTTAGGGGTTATATGAAGTCCATTAGACTGTGAAGAGAACTTGGGTTTTATTTCAGTATGGACAGGTCTAGTACCTATAATGGCTGGGCACATACAGTGATTACTCATTAAATACTCACTGAATGAAATGCTCTCTAGAATTTGGAAATAAGAATAATGTAATTTTTCTTTTTTAAGTGCCAGGAGTTGAGCTTAGAACCTTGCACATGCTAGGCACTGTATACTGAGATGTATCACCAGCCCTGTAATTACTTTTTTGAGAGATAAATTATAAATCAGAGTATAATGCTAGAGTATAAATATTTGTGATCACTTGAAAAAGGTAAAATAGGTCCCTGACCTACAAACCTGTAAGTCTGATTGGGTATATAATAAAGGTAAAGAAAGAATGTGCCACTCAGGTAGATGGTTTTAGTAGTTTAGTCTTTCTTTGTGCTGGAAAAAGGCCTTTTTCTCAGTGGAGGTGGGTGCTGTGGATTGATGAAGTTGTATTATTGCAGATCAGGAACAGTCTAATGATGATTTGTAGGTCTTTATGGACCTGCCTTTACTGAGAGGATGTGATTCATTTGGTTCCTGTGATAGCAGTTTCTTGGCTTTGTGATCTCACAGATCTGCCTTGTGATTGCTCTGTAAGGTGAATGTATTCCCTGGTATTGATAAATTCTAGCTTCCTAGCTAGAAAGGCAAATCTGGACTGTGGTAAATCTACCACCCTCAAGTCTGAAAAGGCAGCTTGGAGCAGGGTATGGAGGTATACCCCTAACCCCCAGTACTTGGGAAGCAGTAGCAGGAAGATTATAAATTCAAGGCCAACTTGGGCTATATATTGAGACACTGTCTCAAAAATTTCTGATCCCATAAAACAAAACACCCAGTACAGCTCAGTAGTTTTTTTCCTTTTGTGGTAATTGGCTTATTTTGTAAGGCTGAAAATACATGGTGAACTTTTATCAGTTTCCTAGTTGTGAGGGTTTACTTTTAAATTTTGTATTTTGGGGGGGATGGGTGAGTGGGAGGTGTTTGTTTTGAGACGGGGTCTCATTATTTAGACCAACTCACAGAGATCTTCCTGCCTCTGCCTTCCAAGATCGGGGATTAAAGACACATAACTACCATGCCTCACTATTAAATTCTTGAAGACATTTGTGGCTAGTGACAGTAGCTTTGTGGCTTATTCCGTCTGTTGCTCATAACTGGCAGTAGGTGATTAGCTAGATTGGAGTTGTCATTTGTCATTAATCTAGTGTGTAGGTAGGGCAAGGTAGTAAGAGCAAATAGGTGTGCTAGGCTGGCACCTGATTACCAGTTGGGGGACATTTGGCTGTTTCCAGTTTGGCTATCACAGATATAACTGCTGTGGTATGTCCATGGCTCTGTGGAGCAGTGGTTTTTTTGTTTGTGTATGACACGGGTGTACTTACACGCATACAGGCAATACACTCATAAAGTTTAAAAAAAACAAAAAGAAATTTTGAACTGCATACATCTTTAGTTTAAAAAACATTTGTTTAATATTTCTCTTAAGCTTTTCAAAACAGTGTATTCATTGCTCTTAGAAAACATTCTAGGGGCTGGAGAGATGGCTCAGCAGTTAAGAGCACCGGCTGCTCTTGCAGAGGACCCAGATTTGATTCCTGGCACCCTGTGGGCTAACAACCCTCCATAACTGCAGTTCTGGGGGAATCTGTTGCCGCCTTCTGATGTCTGCAAGCATTGCATGACATGGGTGCAGTTACACAGTGCAGGCAATACACTCATACACATAAAATAAAAATAATATACATATAAAAAGCATCAGGCTGGGCGTGGTAGTGCATGCCTTTAATCCCAGCACTAGGGAGGCAGAAGCAGGTGGATCTCTGAGTTCAAGGCCAGCCTGGTCTACATAATGAGTTCCAGGACAGCTGGGACTACAGGGAGACCCTGTCTCAAAAAGATCAAAAAAACATCTAGGCCGGAGAGATGGCTCAGCAGTTAAGAGCACTGACTGTTCTTGCAGAAGACCAGGGTTTGAAATCCAGCACCCACATGGCAGCTAACAACCGTCCTAACTCCAGTTCCAGGGGACTTGACAGCTTCTCCTGTCCTCCGTGGGTATTGCATGACATGGATGCATAACACTCGTACACATAAAAAAATTTTAAAAACATTCAAATATAGTTCTGTAAACACTAAGCTATTGTGAATGAGAAATGCCTATATATTTTTCAAACATTTGATACTATAATAAAAATGCTCTTCAATGCCTGGAATATGACACTTTTTAAAAAATCAACTAAATTAAATATCTGAAACATTGTTTTTAGAAAATCTGAAATTAGCTTAGTTTTTACAGAACCTTCCATCAGGGTACTTAAAGAAGCTTTTAACTTCTCTACTGCAGCTTTGTCTTTCTCTTCTTTTACTTAGAGTTTGAATTTGTCAGAGAAATATGATCGTAGAACTTTTTAATGTCTGTCTTCATTTCAGTTCTCGACTGGCTTGTTTTATAAGGCTATACCACAATTTTGGACCAAATTCATTCTGGTCTTAACTTTTTTTTAAACTGAATCCTCAGTTATCCCCCATGGATTTGCATGTCAGTGACTGTTGATAGCAGATTATCTTGTTGTTTGTAGTTTTGGAATCATTTCCATGTCCATTGATTCTCAGACTCAGTAGTACACATTGGTAGTTCTTTCACATAATCTTCCCAGGCTGTGCAGTTCTGATTAAAGTCTCAGTTGGCTGTTGTATTCTGGAGTTTGTGAGTTCCCTCTGAGTCCCCCAAATGCTAGGCTAGGATCACAGCTGTGCATTATCCTGCCTGACTTCCGGTTTTAATTTTATACTTGATGTAAAAGAATAATTGTGTTATTGTTTCAGTCTACCAGGGACCTGTTATGATTCTTGTTTGCCTGGTTAGACTAAGGAATTAAAAGGGTATTAAAGAAGGAGCTGTTTTTATAGTTGTAGAGATTTTTTTTAAAAAAATTAAGCGATCATGAAAGTTTATTTACAGAAAATCTCAGGCGCAATAATTATTTTATTTTGGGGGGACCAAGTAATCCCCCAGGCTAGCCTCTATATGTAGGTAAGAATGATCCTTAAGCCTCTGATTCTTCTGCCCAAGTGCTGGGATTACAAGCCTTTGCCACCATACCCTGTGTGATCTTTATAGTCTTATGAGCACATGGGATGTTTGGGGGCATTGTTTCTGTACTTAGTTACATTACTGGTGAATTGTAGCATTGTTTGTCCAACCCTTAAATATTTTGACCTTTTTTTAAAAAAAAAAAAATAGGTAGAGTCTCAGTACATAGCCTAGGCTGTCTGGCTTCAAACTCTCTGGTGCTGGGCTCATTAATGTGTAATACCGTGGCTGACCTTGAGTGGTTTGAATTTATAAACCAATAGATAATAATATAGCTGTTCTGTCACTTGTGTTTAGAGTTAGAGGGGTTGAAGATATGTTAAAAGAAGTCTTCTATCAGAATATAGACTTTTTTTTTTGTCTTTTTGAGCAGAGTCTCCCTGTAGCCCCAGCTAGCCTGGGACTCACTGTGTAGACCAGGCTGGCCTGGAACTCACAAAGATCCACCTACCTCTGCCTCCCAAGTGCTGGGATTAAAGGCGAGCGCCACCACGCCCGGCCAGAATATAGACATTTTTAATTCAAAAGTACACTGTAAGATAGAATTAATCTTTTGACATGAATTGTTGAAAGACTGCACTATATGTTTAGAACAGTAAGCGTACTGTTTATTTGAGGCTTACTTATTTTGTTTACCATTCTGCTTGGTAGGTTTTACACGCGCTGGAAAGATTGGGAGTCGTGGTATTCTCAGAGCTTTGGTTTACATTTCTCCCTCAGAGAAGAGCAGTGGCAAGAAGACTGGGCATTTATACTCTCTCTTGCCAGTCAGGTAAGGGTGCTCGAGCTTTTGTTGCTTTTATGGTCAAGATTATCTTAATTCTTCAGTTTGCTTTATCAAACCATTTGGAAAGCAGTGTGATACAAAGGAAAGATGCTTGACTTGATACCAGTTGACTTGGGTTCTATCTAGGCAGTGGCTGTCAAATCCTCAGTGTAGAACTATACCTCTTATAAAGGATAAGAACTGTAAACTCACATTGTACTGATGGTTTAAGTATTACATAGTCTTGAGATTACTTCTTGTTTCTCCTCAGCTTTATGCCCATTTTACCTACATTAGCTCTAGTTTGTTGGATTCAAAGTGGGGACTTAGTAACCGAGCTCATGGTGGATAATTAAAGGATGGACCTGAGCTGCCAGGCCTTGGGAAGAAGTTGACATTTTTCAAACTGTTCCCCTTATGGCTGTGTCTATGTGATGTAGGCAAAGGAAAAAGTGCAGCCTATCCAACTTACTCTGAACTCATTACCACTTTTTAGGTTCATTTGAACTTGAGAAGGGAATTACCTTCTGTTTGGGCCACTTGGGCAGGGCTCACAGTGGCTAGTTTATGATGTACTTTGTAGCCATGTGTTATCAGAGTGCAGTTTAGGATGGACCTGATTAGGTGACACTGTTTAACTTCATTCACTAAAAGGCTGTCTAAGGAGGACTTTGTAATAGGCAGGACTTCACAGTGAACTAACTTAATGGGTGATTTTTATAACGCATCCCTTGCTATCTGAGCCTCTGGTTCCTGAGATTGGAGAGCAAATGGTAAGATTGGATAGCAAGGGATACCTCAGTATTTGCCTACAAATACTGTGAAATTGAATTCTGACATGTGCATAAACATTGGAGATCTCTGTTATAATTCTGTTTTGGACTTTACCATTTGGGGACTCAAATGCTTTAATACTTTGACACATCAGTTTTCTAGGACTGGTAATAAGTGTTTTAAAGAGAAATTGTCTTTTGTGTGTACAGCCTGGAGCGAGTTTGGAGCAGACACACATTTTTGTACTTGCACATATTCTCAGACGACCAATCATAGTTTATGGCGTAAAATATTACAAGAGTTTCCGGGGAGAAACTTTAGGATATACTCGGTTTCAAGGTAAGCCATTATTCAAGAGCACTTTGCATAGTTTTGTTTTCTGTGATTAAGTAGCTGTGGTCTTGAAGCAATCATTTATGGGAGAGAAGGATCAGGAGTGACTCTTGGCTATCAAGAGGAGGTAGAGCAGTGGGGTGGTGGTGATGGTGGGCTCTTGTTCTTTGCATATTTAAGATCACCTGCTTTTTCTCTTTTAGGAGTTTATCTGCCTTTGTTGTGGGAACAGAGTTTTTGTTGGAAAAGTCCAATTGCTCTGGGCTATACAAGGGGCCACTTTTCTGCTTTGGTTGCCATGGAAAATGATGGTTATGGCAACCGAGGTGCTGGTGCTAACCTGAACACTGATGATGATGTTACCATCACTTTTTTGCCTCTGGTTGACAGTGAAAGGAAGCTGCTCCATGTGCACTTTCTTTCTGCTCAGGAGGTAAGTAGTATGTTGCACTGTTAACTAGTAGTAATCTTACACCAGAAGCTAGGGGACTGTGCCTTTCAGGAGTGAGATTTGTGAATGTGGTCATAGTGAGTGCTGAAGAGGAAACACACAAAGATTGGGGGTTGGGGAGTCACAGTGGTGTGTGTCTTGCAGTCTGTGGCATAGACTTCTAAGAATTTGGGGAAGGAGATGAGGTGAGATGTGGTCCACCTATGGCCTTTTAGAGGGAGGTTGACTGTCTTCTGGCGGGTGAGCTAAGGAGTCCAGAGGAGCAGAGGCCAGATAAATGGGCAGTGTATGGGAGGTGCTGGAGTGACAGCAGTGTGGTGAGACTGCACAAAACAGCCAGAAGCCCATGTTCTTAGAAAATTAATTTGCCTTTTACTCAGTGTTCTAGTAATGACCAGAGAATACTTAGCATCACAACATTGAGGAAAAAGATCGATAGACCAGAACAGTTTCAGCTTGCGTATAATTTACCAACTAAACTTACCTTGTCCTGTGTTTGAGGCTGAACCTTTTCTGATGGGATCATGTCAAGTAAATTACCTTCTAGAGTCTTCTCTCACCCCTGGGGCGGGGCGGGGCACAGTTTCCACGTTTCTCAATTTTAATGAGGAAAACCTGGGTTTTAATTACAAAACTCTCAGGAGATTGGAATCATGTTGAGTAGTTGCTGGCTCCTCTGTTGTCCCACCCAGTGTGTGATGCCCTCTTCCCTTCTCTCTAAAGCTGGGTAATGAGGAGCAGCAGGAGAAGCTGCTGCGGGAGTGGCTGGACTGCTGCGTGACGGAAGGGGGCGTCCTGGTGGCCATGCAGAAAAGCTCTCGGCGGAGAAACCACCCCTTGGTCACGCAGATGGTAGAAAAATGGCTCGACCGCTACCGGCAGATCCGGCCTTGTACATCCCTATCTGATGGAGAGGAAGACGAGGATGAAGAAGATGAATGAGGGAGACACAACAAACCAACAACCGAGGAATAAAGCCCAAGCCATCAGTTCTGTGATGACCCCGACTTTAGTGTGGCCCTCAAAGCAGAATGTACAGCGTGGAATGAGCCACACCCTGCAGCATCTGCTCCCAAGTATCTTCTGCTCCACAGCTGGTGGAGCCTGAGTGCATCTGCTGCATGAGGAGACAGAGGACTGTGCTTGAACTAGAGTTTGTAAAAAACTAATTTTATTGACAGAACTTTTTTCTTTCAAATTGTAAATCTGTCTATGAATGTAACGCATGTGGTTGTGTAAGAAATCGTGTAATAGGACAAGTTGTACCAGCATCTTCACATTATTGAGAACATTTTTTTTTCCAGCATGGGCACTTACAAAAGCACATGGCAGACAACCTTTGAGGTAATCTCATTAGAACCTGGCATTCTCCTTATACCTTAAAAGATCCATTTGACAATGTTTCATCAATTTGGAAACTTTGTACAAATTATACACAGCAAAACAAAAATAAACAAGCTTTTATTTTATTAATAACTTAGCTCCTGTTGTGCCCAATAAAAATAAAATGAAATGTTTTAGGAACAAGCTATAAGGAAAGCTAGTAATTTTCTTTTTTAAACTAGAGTGAATTTTAGACATTGTCTCCTTGTTTTTGAAGGTTTTGGTTTCTGTTGTCTTCAAGTTTTCTGACACCCCCCTCCCCCAATTATTTAGATATTTATTTGGAAGAGTGCCCTATAGAGGTTCTTACTCACCTCTGGGCAGGTGTGTTTGTGTTATTCCTCAGATGGAAAGGAGCAGACTTGTCACTGAATGGATCGTGACATTTGCTCACGTGGACTCCATCACCATGTTTTGTTGCTCGATTGCCATGCAGAGGGCCTTTGGACTCTTCCGTCTTTATTGTCACCTCTGCTCCACGCCAGTGCTGGTAAGGGCGTGCCTTTGCTTAGGCCCATTGGGAATATCAATTCAGTATAGAATAAAGACTTTAAAAATCCAGAAAGATGGTCAGTGCATTGTATGAATTTTTGTGTACTGAGAATTTTTGCATGTTGGTTAATTGTATTCATTTTTACTTAAAAGTAATAATCTTAGGTAGAAAAACTTTCTGGAAAGTATTTGACCACTTCAGGTATATATTCAGTACTGGGTAAAAACTTCTTTCTTATCTCAGGAACACAAGGCCTAGTGTCCTGATAAGCACTTTGTGGACTTTGATGTGGCACGAAATTTGCGAAATAGCAAATACACACACATTGACACGTTTTCCTTTCCTTTAATGGGGAAAGGCTGTGAAAACATTTAAATCTTGTTTTCTGATGAGATGGTATGGAAATGTATACAACCTTAAACTTGCTGGAAAATTAAAGTAACTGTCCGTGAGCTTTCATGTCTTTAGTTCTTTCTTCCTGTGAACACTGAGTTTGCAGGATGAAAGGTCGTTCCTTTATGCTGCATGCGGAAACTGGTGGGAAAGTTAATTTTGCATTAGGACTCCATATAAATGAACTCTGGTATCAATGGTAAATGTTACTGTTGCAGTGGTTAATGTTGTCTTACAAAAATTGACCCTTGTTTGAGTTCATTTTGGTCAGTGATTGATAACCAGGTTTTTAGAAAGCCACTATTCTGAGTACCTAGCATACTGTTCTCCATGTATAAGGATGGTTTTTTTTTTTTTTTCAGAGTAGAGATCCAGTTAAGCAAAATCTGTTCTCCCAAGTGAAGAAGCCAAAGAGAAGTGTGAGGATAAGGCTGGTCTCTGGGGTCTATCTGTGGTGCACTCCAGAGTGTCACAGTCTATATATTGTGGTCTGGTGAGTGTCCTTTCCCCTGAGCGTCCTCTTTATTTATTTATAACCATTGACCCTGACCACATGTCATTTGATGGGCACAACATTCTTCCCTGTGGGAAAGATGCAGAGATGGCTCCATTTCTTAGGCTGTAAAGATAGGAATGGAGTTTACATAGTTTGTAGAGCTGACTGGCTGTGAAAAGGCCAAAGTTTTTGGTAAATCAGTGCTTTATTAAGCTCTTGAACTATTCAACAGCCATAATATTGTCCCAAGATTGTACATGTGGCTGCGTGACAGATGTGTCTTTTGATTCGCTCTGGACAGTCATGTGTGGACTTTATGGTTCTTTTTTAGGGCAAAACCAGTATTGTTTTCTGTTCTGATGTTATCGTTCTTTGGAGTCAGTTTATATATAATTTATAAAGGACTGTTTGAGCAACAGAGATCTAATTAAACGAAACCCAGGCACACCATGGATTCAGACTGCCCTTTTCTGTTTCTGACCCTCAGGTGCACTGTGCGTCCCAGAGTGTTAATGTAAAATGCTGCTGTGTGTGGAAGGTTGGGGTTCTCTTATGCTAGTTTGTTTTCAGTGTTTGATAAGACTTGTGATGAAGATACAGGACTGCCTTTCTGCTTTCGTGGCAGTCCAGTGAGGTTGTTTTAAAGGAAGATTTCAGGGCAGCCTCAGGATGGGGTCCCCTCTCGAAAATAAGAAGCAGGCCAGGCAAGCTAAGGTTTGAAGACACGGCTTTTCTTTCATTTCTCTTCTCTTTTTTAAATGGGAAAGATAAGGCTCAGAGGGGAGTCTGACCCTTGGAATTGTGAGACTTAAAGTTCATTTAATGGATCTACCTTTTGGTAACACTTTGTAAGTACCACAAACATTAGGTTATTGGCAATAAAGGGAGGAGGGGCACCTTATTTCCCCTTCCTCCATTAATGCCAGTTAACTTTACTTAGGGTATGTTAAAACTCAAAATTGTAAGTTGACTAATTTTGTTTCTGGAGTTGACTTTTACTCTGGCGCGCTACTAAGGAGAGCCTAACTTGGATGTGAGGCCGAACATTTACCACATGAGGTTCTGGTTGTGAACAGGCAGGTAGAACCCTGGGAGAAACAAGAGTTGGAGATTAAACATCTCAAGTGAGAACTTTTACATCAGTGAGATGTACTTACATTTCAGAACTTAACAGAAATTTTAATTAGTTTTTATTGAAAACTGCACTGAACGCTAAATGTCCACCTTTACAATAAACAAATACAGTAACGGTAACTCACACTAAAACAAAACATACTCCTGATAGCCATTATTTTTGTTTGGGACAGTTTAAAGTTTTTCTTTGTCACAAAAACAGGAATGTACCTATACAAAGGCTCAAACTAGGCCATCTTTTAAAACAAAAAGGCAATGATTCACAAAAGACTATGGATAGAACATGAACTAGTTGGTACAAATCTAATAGGATTTGTTAAAATCAGTCACATCTAGTAACACATCTGAAGTGTTCTTGTATAAAATATCACGTGAAGAAAAGAATTTATCAATGTCTAAAAAAGTGGGTTTGTTCATAGACAATCTGACAAGTTACCATAAAAAGTGTTTCCTGAGACATAAGGAAATGCAACATTATTCTTCTTGAACCCTTGCGGTTCAAGACTTTCCACTCAATAAAATAGCTGAGGATCTGAAACTGAGAAAATAGATTTGAGTACAAACAGCTTGTGAAACTTAATACTTTTTTCTTTTTTTCTTTTTTTTATGTTTTATGTTTTTTTTTGTTTTGTTTTTTTTTTTGCATCATCAGAGGGTATTACTGAACTTACAGCCAACTTGCCCGTCAGTCTGCAGTTCAGATGTGAGAGACACTTGATACTTCTCTGTACAGGAACCCGCACTTCCTCCACTCCTCTGCATGTAGATGTCTACCACAGGCAGACAGTGCTCTCCACATCTTGTCGTAATTTAATCTTCCTACCAGCCAAGAGGTAATGAGCCCCTGTAGACCAAAGGGACTAGAGTCTTAAGATGAGGGTTTCCTCTCAATTTTTTATTGATGTTAGGAACTCTTGATGCAACACCCTAGAGCCAACTGCTCAGGACCTGCTGTGCCCAAGGGGCCGATATAGGGAAAGCTCTATTTGTTGTTTGTGATTTGATGCACAGATGAAAAACTTAACACACAATAACAGAAGTTGGTCGTTAATAAATCACATCCTAGCTTTTCAGCGCTTCCGGAAGCAGATGTCATCTTCAGTTTTCTAGCTCTTGTAGCTTTAACACTGCAACATCAATGATGTGGATGTCCAGGATCATTTAAAAAGTTCAATTCCTTCTCTCTCAGTTCATCCATTTTCCACTGTCTCTTGGTCCCAAGTTTATCTGAACCTTTCAGCATTCTCTGCTATTGCTCGTTGGGGTGCTCTCGATTGTCCCCGTGTTTGGTGGGCTGGTTGGGAGAGGGAGCTTGGGAAGGGTGTGCCACTGTGGGAAGGTTGTGAGTCACCGGGATGCCTCCAGGGATGATGCCTTCCATGGCTGCAGGAAGTCCTCCTGGGGCTACGCCCACAATGCCTGGTGGGTACCTAAGAAGATGCACAGACACAGGGACTTTAAGTCCTTGGCTCTTTTCCCACTCTGGCAGAGTCTTCTCACAAATACTGTGAAAAGGTTATCCCCAACCCCAAAGGAGACTTTAAAAAATTATGTGTATGAGTGTATTGCCTGCATGTGGGAAGTACACCTGTGTCATGCAAAGACTGTGGCGGCCAGAAGGCGGCGTCGGATCCCCTGGAACTGGAGTTAAGGATGGTTGTTAGCTGCCACATGGGTGCTGGGAATTGAACCCGGGTCTTCTGGAAGAACAGCAATTGTTCTTAACTGCTGAGCCATCTCTTCAGCCTTGAAACTAGACTTTTATATGGAACTGTGGCACCTAGTTTGTTTAAAAATATTTTATGTGTGATAATTGAAACCGAACCTCTATAAGAACAGACAATGCTCTTAAACCACTGAGCCATCTCTCTAACCCCTGGTTTTTTATGTATGTATGTAAAAAAAAAAAGTTTAATATTAGCTGGGCTACTCACTTTGTAGCTTTTAGGCAACAGGAAGACATTCCTCTGCCTGTGGGTTTTGTGTTTTTAAGTCCTACAGAGGTTAGGCTGCTGTCAAATGTCATCAGTTAAGCTGACTTTATAATTTCCTAACATTTCTCAAAGTTAAATAGGGCTGTTAATCGACTTCATGAAGGCCTGTTTCCTCCCCAAATTCTTGTGTTCAAATCCTAATTCCTAAAACGTTAGGAGGTGGACGTTTGGGGAGAGGTCCTCAAGAATTAGAACATTTGCCAGCCAACAGGCTGTGTGACAGCCTGAGCTCACAGTCGCTCTGTCTTCCCAGGAGAGGGAACTGGTGCACTGGACTGTTGTTTGAGTGCCTGTCTTTGTGTGCAGAGCTAGGCTCATTTTCAATTTTAACCATATTTATGAGGCAGGTGCTTTAGTATGAGAGTCTGAAAAGTTGTCAAACCCTCTGTAACTGAGGTAGTGAGGGTTTCACCTCACACTGTACAAGCCACACTTGCTCCCCCCGAGCACCTCTTGAGGGATTTGTTCAAGCTGACTCCTCACAACCCCATGCTGTGTTCTAGTAGGCCAAGAACATGAATAAACAGGGACTGTGGTAGTGCTGTGATGGACATAAGTGACAGTGAAATCCTTACAAAAGAAATGTCGATAGAGGCTGGAACCCGGTTCACATCTATAATTCTAGCACTGGAGGCTGAGGCCAACCTGGGCTACAGTGAGACTATCATAAAACACCCCAAAATAAACAAAGGGACTGGGTGGAACTAGCTTCCTCAGAGCCTTCGTTACATACAGACCTTGTCTGAACACCAGGGCTAGAATATGGGACATGTGAGTGTCCAGAGGCATTTCCACCTGTCACAATACTGGGAAGGTTTTCTGGGCACCCAGAGGAGATGCTGCTCAGTACCTTCTACAACCTCCTTTCACAGATCTTCCCAGGCTGCACGTGGGGGCACGCACATGTAATCTTTGCACTCAGAAAGCTGAGGCAGGAGGCACAAAAGACTGAAGTAAGCCTGGGTTATACAGAGACACGCTTATGTCAAAAACTTAAAAAGACCCCAGCCCTTCCTAAAAAACACCCTCAAAAAGAGCTTTATTCCAAGGAAGTTAGGCACTGAACATAGACCACATACATACTACCCACTGGGAAGGTGATTTTTTTAGGTTACATCAGGTTACACCAACTCCCCAGGTCTGGGCTTTTCTTGCCTCCCTTTCTCCCCAAGGGAGGACGAGTCAGCTGCTGCTTCTCACCTGTACGTGGCACCATTGAGCTCAGGATGAATTGCTTGCTGGTCTATTACTGACCAAGGAGCAGAAGTAACAAAGAATTCTTTGTTGACACAGTTTCGTAAGCTTTCTGGGATGCGACCTAGAGTAAGAGGGTTATAACAATTGACCAGTTGCAGATTTTAAAAGATTGGTTCACTGTGTGTTGGGGGGTGTGATGTACCATGGCACACCTGTGGAAGTCAGGGCAACTTGAAGGACTCATTCTTTCCTTCCTCCCTGTGCGTCTATATGACTGTACTCAGGCTTAGAGGAGGGTGAGCTGCTAAACCACATGTGTACTTTAAAGTTCTCGATTGTATTTGGTGGTTGAAGATATGACAGAAATTTAGTTCAGGGTTCATATAACAGAGCCCAGCTTACAGAACTATTTGTCACCATAAAAAAGAACTCAGCAGCCACCTGTAACCAGCAGGATGTTCTGGTGGAGGTTGGGGGCAGCTTACCTGTGATTGCTCGGCGGATCTCCGTGGCAGCTGCCTCCCTCATCTCTAGCGAAGCTTGTTCACTATACCAGGCTGTATGGGGTGTACAGATGAGATTCGGTGCATCTTTCAATGGACCCTGAGCAAAGCTGGGTAAATATAAAAGGACTCAGTAAATGGGAATGCTGCCACTATACTAAAGAGAGACTTCATACCCTTAGCAGTGGGACCAGGGAAGCACCAGGTCACATTTCAGAAGGGGTGGGACTTGGCAAACACAGTTACCACCTAAGCCGGTTCAAGCAGGAAAGGGAAAGCCGCTCCCTCTAGTCAGAACACCCAGGGTGGAGACAAAGCCTGTCTACAGATCAAAGGCATGCATCGCCATCCTGTTTTACTACACCATCTCTGGTGGCATTAGGGACCTTCTGAACCTTTTACAACAAATGTCAACAGTCTCTAGAACAGAGACTATTAAGCATTTCCAGAATCTCCTATGGGAGCTTCTTCACAGTGTGGGATCAGGTGTGGAATTAGACCCCGCATGGTTTCTGATGAGCTGGAAGCATACCCACCTAAAGGGCTCTGACTCATGTACGTCAAGGGCTGCCCCTCGTATCCTGCCCTCTTTGAGGGCCTGAGCTAAGGCTTTCTCATCCACCAGACCACCTCGGGCTGCGTTCACGAGGAATGCCCCTTGCCTCATCTGTGGAAAGAAAGAGAAGCTGGTTCCATCGCACTGCCATAGCAGAGAGGGTCTCTGGAATAGAGGCTCAAGGAAGAAAGCTGCAAGCTAGGAGCTTTGTCGGTTTGGTGTTTGACCTGGGATGCAGTTCAGAGAAAGGGCACGGGAAGTCTTGGTGGTAACTGGAGGCCCAGATTGTTGGAGTTGTCTGGGGTCAGGCCTACCAAAAGGAACAGATGGTATCAAATGATTTGTCCTGGGATCACATCCCTGCTCACTGCTGTGTCCATGAACCAGTTTTCAGTCCCTCTTGTGCCCATGGCTGGTGCTGTTAAACCTCACCACACAGGACACCTACTTTCAAATTACCTGCTTAATAGTAAAGTCATTGATGAGGTGGTGGTTATGTTCATTGAGATTGCAGTGCAAGGAGACGCAGTCGCTCTGATACAGCAAGTCCTGCAGGGTATAGACTCTCTGCACACCCAGAGACCTCTCTATCCCATCCTGCAAGTAGGGGTCATAAAATATGACGCTGAATCCAAAGGCCTTGGCTCGAACAGCAACCGCCTGCCCTGTGCGACCTGTGCAGAGACAGAATGTGCAGGTGAGTGAGGTGTACGTATGTCCTGTGTGCTGCGTCCACCACCATACCCTGCCTCTGAGAGGCCCTTCCTTGCTAAATGTGTTACCCAGTAACCAGGCCCACAATGCAGTGCTGCCCAAGGTCAGCATCAATCCCCAGGGCTAAAGCAGTGACGGCCACCCCAGGACTGTGATGCCTCTTGTATTAGACACAGGATTCTTTAAGATTTATTTTTTAAAGTTATGCGTGTGCTCCTGTGCCTGTGCCAGTGAACACAAATGTGAACAGTGGCAGGAACATGGCACTCCGTCCTTGTAGGACTAAGGACCCCATCATGTGGCTGGTAGGAGCCTGTGGTGACCAGGATAAATGCTTCCTTCTACACATGCCAGCTGTGTGCCTAACCACCCCAGACTGATCTGAGCTCTTTGCAGGTCCAGGGCCCCAGGAATTTGCAGAGAAGCCCAGAGCACCAAGCCAGATCTAAACACACCAAGGTGGTGGGGTTAATCTCAGTGTCGGTGTTTCATAGATTCACATCCACCCACTTTTCACTGGCTTTCCTTTAGCCAGATTCTCTTCTTCTTGAAGAAAACCCAAAGGCACTGGCCACTTTAAGATCACCCGCCACCAAGTGCCCCCTGGCAGCACCACACATCCTAAAATTGGATAGAAATTAGCACGTCCCCTCTGCAAGGGTGATATGCAAAAAATCCATTTTCTTTGGAAATGCCATGATATCTAGTACCTTGTAGGCTAACTTAAAAAGATGTAAATTTACTGTGATGTTTATCAATAGGCGCAGTAAATTGGATGGGGGGGGCATTCCTACCCCTGTCTCTTTCAGTTTGGGGTAAACGTCTCCAGCCTTTGACCACGTGCAGCCCACCACCTTCCACAGCAGGCAGCCTGAGGGGGGCCTCTCTGCTTACACTCCCAGCCCACTTCAGGTTCACATCAGCTCTGCTGCTGCTGTTTTGCAGAGCTGGGGTAAGTGAAGGCTTGTGGTCACTGGGAGTGGCAGCAGTGCTAATGCGTAGCCTGCAAATCATGTTCCTCTTGTGACTCCACCATAGTTATGGGAGGCCTTGGAAGTCGGGTGTGTGTTAGGGACCCAGGGAGACCAGCCTCCAAAGGTAGAAATGGCATAGGGCCAAACAAGACTAGTAAGAAGCTTCTGTGATGGGGTGTGTGACAGGGCCCCAAGCACAAGAAAAGCTTCCCCACCACTGCCCACAGCTACCCACAGGCTCTACAACCTGACCAGAGACCATCCTGATATACAAGATGTGTTTCCAAATGGATGACCATTTAAGAGTAATGGGCATTTGGCTGGAGAGATGGCTCAGCGGTTAAAAACACTGCCTTCACAGAGAACCTGGGTTTGGTTCTAACACCCACAAAGAGGCCCATCACTTCTTCTGTTCTAGTGTATACAGCACCCCCTTCTGGTCTCCACAGGCATTGCACACATGTGGTGCATTTACATCCAAGTAGGCAAAACACTCATGTTTGCCTGTATGGGTGTAAGCGCATCCACGCAGAGGCCAGAAGAGGGCCCTGGATCCCCTGGAAATGGAGGTTGTGAGCTGCCATGTGGGTGCTGGGAACCAAACCCGGGTCCTCTGGAGCAGCAAGTTTCTCCTTTTTTTTTTTAATTTTATTTTTTAAAATTTTATGTGTATAACTGCACCTGTGTCATGCAATGTCCACACAGGCTGTTGGATCCCCTGGGACTGGAGTTATGGCCAGTTGTTAGCTTCGAACCTGGGTCTTCTGCAATCACAGTATTCTGAACTGCTGAGCCATCTCTCCAGGCCCGTTTCTCCAGTTCTTAATAAGACTTGTCTAAATTAAAGTTTGTAAGCATCCCTAGTGTGATCCTGCCAGCACCTGAGCACTTGAATTCAGACCCTGATTGGCTACAGGTTCCAGCTAGTCATCATGCCTGGCAGAAAGGTAATCCAGGGATCACCTCTCAGAAGCCTCAACCCTCACTCAGCCAGCTATCTGGGAACATGCTGCTTTGAGCTAGGCTGAGCAAAATGAGGAATCTTCTGGAACCAGGACATAACTACTCCAATGTGTTTAAGTGGGTGGGGTGCAATCCTGTGGCCAATGGAAGTGGCATGTCCCATAACCCTTGGGAGAGTTGTTGAAGTCTCTCTCAAAGGCCCTCTCTGCTCCAGTGTTGCCATGGCAACAGCCAGGTCCAGGAAGATCATGCCCTGTTCCATTCTTGAGAGCCTTCCAAGCCCATGGCCTGGCTGCCATCCACTGGCTTGAACCTTAAAGTGACAGTTGCTAAAGCCACATGCATCCTAGAACCCACCGCTCAGGCTAGCACTCAAAACACCAGGTGGACACTAGTCCTCTGCCTGTTGTTCCACGATGCACTCTGTACAGCTTACCCTTTACCGGCTCTGTTCAGGGAAATGTAATACGCATGCCCCTTGGCAGTGACAGCACTTGAAGCAACATTGACCCATTCTTATAGACCTCACCTAGAGCTCACCTCTAGTCAATCTGTTTGATTGCTCTTGACCCCTAACCTCCTCAGCCACAGGCAGCAAGCCTGTCTCAGAGGCACATACCAAAGCCGATGAGGCCCAGGGTCTCTCCTCGGATTCGAGCTGCTCCTGAGGCCACCTCACGGATCTGCTCCACGCTCTGTACCCGTGTGCCTTCTCGCAGTGCCTGGTACAGCCACGTGTTCCGTCGGTAGAGATTGAGGATGTGGCAGACAGTGGAATCTGCAGTCTCCTCCACAGCAGCAGATGGGATGTTGCACACAGCGATCCCTAAAGGACAGAGGCCAGGCACAGAGGTGAGCAAAGCCCGAGGACACCCTAGACACTGCTCTGAGATGAAGATTTACTCCAGCATGGGGGACTGCAGCAAGAGTGTACTAGGCCCTCTGCACCTGAAGCTCAGGAGCCTGTACCCCCACCCCCAAAGCAGAGCTCCAAAGGAGCCCTGGAACAGGTAGGACTCCGAGGGTGGAGGGGTCAGAAGACAGGACTTTTTCCAAGGGTCTTTATGGGAATGTATGTTATGCAGACTGGTTTCTTCTTTTATGTACTTTTAGGTTTAATGCAAGTATCAACATCACACTGTGGCAGCCGCTTCTTACTTTTTACAAACATCTCAACCCAAGCACTGTGGAGGACCTTGAGTTTGAAGGTTCTCACTCCCCTGAACCTCCTGGTCTGTCTGACACAGGCAGAAAGGAGAGGGGGCAACTAGGGGCACTTCCTAAAGAGCGTTAAGCACCTGAAAAGTAAAGCCCGACACTCCTTGGAGAACTAACCCAAGTCCCAAGCAGGAAGAGCCTGGACAGTAACTTTCCCCTGGAAAGGCTATTTTGTGAGGGAAGCAGTTCTCCCACCATCCCATCAAGATGTCTTCTTGGGGGCTGGAAAGATGGCTTGGCAGAGGACCTGGGTTCGGTTCCCAGCACCCACATGGTAGCTAACCACCACCAGTAACTCCAGTTCAGTAAACCTGACGTCCTTAGGGCAACAGCATGACACAGGCACACTTACATCCATAAGGACAAATGTATATACATAATAAAAAGTGTTTTTTCTAAGATGTTTTCATGGAGGGCCCACCTGCAGGAGAAAGGAGAGGCTCTGATGAGGAACATTGGACCCTAGGCAGGCCCAGAAGCCGCCTGGGCCTGCTAGCCAGCCAGCTTTCTAAGCAAGCAAGACTCAGGCCAAATAGCTCCACCTTGGTCTCAGGCTTAAGACCCTTACAAGAGCTGCTCTTCCGCACACACCACCTAGGCAGCAAGGTCTGGCCACTTTTAAGGTAGCCTTGGGTTCCTCTACATTTTCAGGACTGAGGAATAGACAGGAAGTAGATCAACAGTACCCAGAACCACCTTCTTAGCAGCTGTGCTGTTTGGGCCCACTCTCCTAACCCTAAGGTCCGAGTCCTTCCTGATCAGTGACCCCCCTCAGGAGAACCGATAGCTCAGACAGTGAAGGAGCAGGTCGTTCTGTCTGCCTGGCTGCAGAGGGCTCTTCTGGGCCATGGACGCTGCCAAGTGCCCTTGTGTTTACAAGGATGGAAGCTGACCTTTCCTGTGAGGTGGGACTTGTAAGCGGAGCAGAATGCAGCCTCATTCATTTGGAATGACTCAGCACAGGAGCTCGGGCTGGGACACAGCCCATGCTATTATTAGGCTGGACAGATTGGAGCACACATAAGAGGTTTAAGAAACCTTGGGCAGAGTAGGGACAATTTCCAGTCCTCTGCATGGCCTAAGCCCAGAGGAAGGTCAGTCAGATTCTGCAGTGAGCCACAGTGAGGCTTAGCCGACCAACATGGAGAGGTCCCCATGTAATCAATGACATGGTGAAGGTGGGGTATAAAAAGAAAGACTGAGGCAGATGTCTGCTCAACCCAAACCAGAAATTGGAGACGCAGCTCAGTTTCTAGTACGGAGGCAGAGCCCAGGCCTGGGAACAAGTGTGGATGGGAGTTGTTGACATAGCAATCATCTTGCCAGGTGTGACAGACGGCTGTCAGTTTCCTATTTGAGGTGAGTTTTCCTCAGCCACGTCAAAGAGTTCTGTGGACATGTTCTCTCCTCAGGGTAACCTTCAAACGCCATGTTTATTATGGTTCTGGTATTGGCAGAGAAGGCTGCCAGCCTCCATGAACCTGAGTGTGTAGGAGTCACCAGCAAAGCAGCCCAAATTACTAAGCAGCCCTGCCCTGCTTCTGCAGAGCAACCAAGGGTGCTCTACCTGCTCCAGAAACGCGGCCGAAAGTGGGTGACTGTCCTGTCCTTAACATTAAGTGCTGGCTCCATATTCCAAGATGATGGGCTATGCCTGCATTTACCATACAGGGCTCGGCTTCTGGGGTGACAGGAAACTCCTAGGAGCGGGGCACACCTGCAGCCTGCCATTCCCTGCCTTGGAGACGAAGGACATTGTACAGAGGGAGCTCATTTCTCTTCTTCAGCCTTAGCACTTGAAAGCTATGCTTCCAAAAGGCCTAGGAGATGTCTCCTGAGCATCTGCCCCCACTGCAGTGGACCGGAATGGAGACAACACTCAGGTCCCCTTTTATGCTTTTCAGAGCCCTGGTCCCAGCCCTGGGCTTGACACCTGTGGATCCCAGGACTCTAGGAAAAAGTTCATTTCTGGCTTCAGCCTGTCTGTTCTTGGACCTTCTCCAATCAGAGAAGCAAAGTGTCACTGTCTGAAACTCTGCACCCACACCTTCTACAGATGTCAGAGGTACGACTGTGGCCAGGAGTTGTGTGTGAGGGGTACTGGGTGGGACAGTGTCTTCCTGCACTGTCTCAACCTGGGAATTCAGCTCTACCCTAGCAGACACTTGTTTTTAAACACAAACACGCTTGTTCATTCATGCCAGGGAAACAGAAAGTGTTAGTTTTTATTAAAACTCATGCCTGAGGCCTCACAACACCTGGGCTGCTTTGTTGCCAAAGAAGGGCTTAGAGAGGATATGGTGGAAGTTTACAAACATGACCAGTCTTCATCCCCAGGACCCTGGAGGGGATGCCTGGATTTGATGTGAGCCCCATCTCCTTTTTCCAAGTCATCTCCCCTAGGGTACCACCTGTGGAGCAGCCATGCCTAAGGCGCTATGGATATGGGCTGGATAACACTAGGGTTTGGTGCCCTCTGGCCTGTTCTCACTCTGGGATTCACGTATGTGACCGCTGCCCAAAATACAAGAAAGCTAAACATAACTGGCTGCCAACCTCTCTGAAAGCCCCAGGCTCAGACTGGTGAAAAGCGGATCCTGCCAGGGCAGCCTCAGCTGACAGCATGGAAGGCAGTGTCCGGCAGTGTGGGTAGAACGATCAGATATTGAGTCTTCTAACTCGGGGCCAGGTGTAAAGCTGACTGTGAGACATTACACACACCTGGTTTCTCTGTGCCGGGAGACCCAGAAGCCCTTTGAGTAGACAGCAGGCCCTTGGCCCATGGGAGGAATGGTAACATGGCCAGGCTGCTGGCAGGCCCATCAAGGTGACAGCACAGGCTGGGTAGCATCCACCAAGGCTTGTGTTTCCAGATATTCTGAGGGATCCGTAACCAACCTCATGAATTTGGCCCTTCTGTGCTCACCATACTCTTATGCCCAGGTAAAGGGGTGGCATATTTCAAACACAGACCAAGTACTATGACTTTGGGGCCCCTCCCAAGTCCCCTGTCTTCTGCTTTCTGCTGACAGTCAGTGCATACCAAGTTCCATGTGGGTGGACAGTGAGGCCCCTGTGCCATGCCAGTACCCTACCTTTGGGTTTGGGTTTTTACTTGCTACCTGTGCTTTTCTTTGGAAGGCCCCCTAAGCAGGAGCACCGGCCAGTGGTCTGCTTGCTTTGATATGCTGAACTGGGCCGTGACCTTGGGGAAGAGGTTCTATCCCAGGGCTTGTTTGTCTTCAAGTCTTCTGAACTTGCTATGAGCTCTGGTGGTAAGGACCGGGCAAGATGCACCGTGAGCTCTTCCTAAGACTCCCTCAGATGCCAGATACTTTCTATGGCCAGGATAGCTGCTCTGCGTCCTTCCTGTCCACTGACCATGGCTCCCAGGTCACAGCACAGCCCCTCACTCACCAAGCTCGCCGGCAGCCTTGATGTCCACGTTGTCGTAGCCACTGCCGATCCGCACAATCACCCTCAGAGCCTTGAACTTCTCTAGGTCTTCCCTGGTGAGGGTGATGGTGTGGTACATCATGGCACCCACAGCCTCGTTTAACACCTGCAACGGGATGTGGGTCACAAGTCAGAGCCCTTGGGTGTCCAGAGTAGAGGCTGTGGAGGGAATGGGGAGAGGTCCCAGGTGCCCACAAGGTTAGTTTGGATGGAGCTATTGCTGTTTGGAGCCTAGCTAAGTGCCTGGGGGGATGTAGTGGGGTAAGGGTACTGGGAAATGCTAAAGGAGGGCGATTCTGCTGGGTGTGGCGGCGCACACCTTTAATCCCAGCACTTGGGAGGCAGAAGCAGGTAGATCTTGGTGAATTCAAGGCTAGCCTGGTCTATATAGTGAGTTCTGGGCCAGCTGAGGACACCAGCTAGCCCCGAGGAGCCCAGGTAGGGTAGGGTGCCACCCACCTTCTCGTGGATTTCCTGAGTAGACTGTGCGTCGCAGAAGGCTACAGTGGCCAGGTCTTTCAGGATGGGCATCTCCACAGTGCAGTCTCTGCCATCCAACAGTGCCACCAGGGGGCGGGGGTGCAGGGGGCCGTTCATGATCTGGGGGCGGATACCTGTGGAGAGAGGAAAGCCATGGTGGGTGTGAGTGGGACAGCCTGATCATCCCAATGAACAAGGTCAGCGGAGATGACACCAGCCTGGCGGACCAGGTCTGTTCCTTCAGTTCTGGGGTGGGGCTGATTTTGCAATGAGGAGCCCCCCCAGTCTCTCAACTCAGCAACAGGGGATGTTCTGGAGGGACCGACTGTGCAAAGCAGGACATGACATTGTGGGTGGTGAGGGGGCTGCTAGACGACAGATTCAATGACCATAGGTTAAGTGTAAGGCTCTGGTATAAGATTATTTCACTTTAAGACCCAGAGGGACATCTGTGGCTCCACGTGAGCTGTCCATAAAGTAAAGTTCTGGACCAGTGAGATGGCTCAGCAGTTAAAGACACTTAGTGACAAAGCCCAACGACCTGAGTTCAATCCCTCGAACCCACATGGTATCCTCTTATTTCCAGATGTACACATGCGCGTGCGCGCGCGCACACACACACACACACACACACTCATACACTGTAAAACATACATAAAACACACATAAATCAAACCACTAGGACTATTTTGGAAAATGAAGGTTCTTTCTGCTGGGTCTGTGGGGTGCGGGTGGGACCTGGCTTTAGTAAGGGGCCTCATAATTAACTCATGAGAGACACTATGGAGCTAACTGCACTGACATATGGATCAGAGGAATGAGGCTACTCCAGGCTCGAGCTAACTGCTGCTATGAACAGGGACATCACACAGCCGAGGCCCCATACTGAGTCCACCACAGGCTTCCTTGTTCACCCACAAAGGACACAGGCTTTTGCCTTGCCTCCCTGTGTGCAGCACATCTCAAACAGGCGAGCATATGTGAAGAACAGGAAACACACAGAGGTGCTATGTTCTTTGTGGGAACATTTCCAAGAGCCCCTTGGGCAAACAGGCAACAGAGGGCTGAACCCTGTTACCTGTGTGAGGTGAGGAGAGGTAGTCTACAGAGGCTTGGAGAGCAAATCTGGGACCATGTTGGTCAGCTCCCCAGTAGGGCTGTCCTGGAGCTAGAGAGGGATGGCCCTGGTCCACACTCACTACGCTGCCCAAGTGCAGATTCCCAGATGATTCCAGCATGGTGGACACCTGCTGTTCCCCCTCAGGATGCAGCTCAGCCAGGATACATATCTCCTCAACTATCTGTACAGCAGACCTGGCATCATCATGACCACCATGCTCTGAACCTGGGTTTGGGGGGACTACACCACCATGACATCAGAGCAGGATCTGTTTCCTTACCAAAGCAGAAAGTTATGAACTAAAATAGGACACTTTTCAGATGCCTACTTGAAATCCCTGAGCAGCCCAAGTCTCATACCATGTATATATAAGATTTCTGGCCAGTGCCGCTGGGAACATTCCCGTTCCCTCCTCATGCTGAGGCTTGACAGTCCAGGCCGACAGTCCCATAGTCTGTCCAAGGGAGGGTACAATCAGCTCTCCTTACTTGCAGGGGAACCCCTCATCCTCTAAGGAACAGGGCTGTTTGGGGAGCAGCATGGCCTTCATGTGGCCATTAAGGTATGCTCACCTTCATGGCTGCTGCTTCCCGACCCACACTCCTGGCAGCCCTTAAACTAAGTGCTTGGTAGGGGGCTGGGACATGTGGGCTCATGCTGAACCATGCAAGCTCGTGCAGCTAGCAGTAAGAAGCTGGTGAAGGACATGCCAAGAGAGCTATCTACCTGTCTCCGGAACCCTTACCGTCGCCGTACAGTTGTTCCCAAGCCGTAGCTGCATAATCTGGGGCCAGGCACCTCTATGAGCTAGAGCAGAAAAATCTGTCCTGGCCTCAGAATAGGCTGGGGCTCAAGGGAGTCACGAGCCATCCTGGTCTGAAAGGCAGCCAGACCTTGCCATTCAAGAGTCCCCAGGGTATACCCCAAGTCCTAACTGGCCCATGGCTTACAACCGACAGGTTATTCCTATGAGAAAACAAATGTTTTCAATGCTTGCTCCAACCTCAGTGGGCCCAGCGGGGGCTGGATGAACAATGATAGGGAGAGAAGGTTCCCTCAGAGGCTATCTTCAGACCAGACCCCTAGAGATGCTTTCTATCCCTAGACCATATGAGACAGAGTGAGGAGGCTGCATATCTGTATTCATTCTGGACCACCACCCTGTCTGCTAATCAGATGAGCAAGCCAAGGCATAAGAGTCTCACTCCATATCCTCCTTTCTCCTAAGGAGTGAAACTGCCAAACATGCGTGTGTGTGTGTGTGTGTGTGTGGGGGGGGGGGGGGGGGGGGGCACCATGTTTGAAAAGGTCCTCCTTGCCGCCCTCAAAAGACATTGCCAGACATAAGGCAGGACTCTAGAGCCATTTGATGCATCTAAGTGGCTGAGAGCCATCATCCCACAATGCCCATCCATTGTATCAGTGCATGGCTCTGTTACCCAGGTAACAAGCTCCAAATCAATCAGCTAAGCTCCCTCATCTCAGGGTTCCCTACTCTGTCCTTTCTTTTCACTGGGTGGGTAGAGGAGATCCATGGCTTGAGGTGTGAATCCCAGCTAAGAAACCTTTAAATATATGAAGGCAGGAAATAGAGAGGCAAAGGGGGTTTTGCTGCTCAGAGGCCTTGGACTAGGGAAGGATGCTGAGTGGAGATGCAGGGCAGGTGGCACTGAATAAGATCCTTGCTTGTTCTGTGAAAGGCAGAGGGCTACTGGAGAACCCAGGAAAAGGGAACTGAGGACCAGGCTCTATAGGAGCCACCCAGCACAGAGTATAACAGGAAGTACTAGGACACAGTCTCAGAAGGAGCCCATCCACTGCATGGTGGGAAATACAGAACCTGGGATAGAGTCCTAGATGATCTCATTCAACATACAGATAGAGTTACCAGGACACTACCCATCACTTTGAATACTTTTGACAAACTGGACCAATGTCTTAACACATGGCACATGAGGTGAGCCCTCAGGATGGCCCTTGGTCTGGAGCAGTGGCTCATTTCTTCAATAGCTAGGGGCATTTGGGGGAAGGTAGCTCAAGGCACAATGCTTAATGAGGATCCCTTAAAAACTGGAGTTTAGGATGAAATGCAATGGCTCCCAATTACTAGACACTGCTAAAGGCTTTTGCACATGTGCAAATCCCAAGACTCACAATGACCTAGGAAAGGCTATCATTTACAGCTCAGTCAAGAGGCTCAGGATGGCCACACAGAGCCTCCCATACTATCGGTAAGCACTTGCTTGACCTGGTGTTTATTGACCCTCTGTACAAAAATGGTGATTTGTCCTTTCTAACCTACCCCCCACACACACTTCACCTGCCCACTTGACCTGTCAACAACTATGCATATTTTACTAGGCATATTATGGAAATGAGGCCAGTACCCTACTGCATTGGCATGTGGTAGGTATTATGTGGGTAGCTCAGCCAGCTCCCCTGGAATCAATTACTTGCTGGCTTCAGGACTGCCTCAGTATAATGTCTGGGCCCCCAGTGTTGCAGCTCAAGGCCAGGCCACTGCCAGTCACTGCTCAGAGCAGAAGCTACTCCTAGGAGATGTGAAATTAGAGAACATCAGGAACACAAAGATTACCACAAGAGTTGCCCCATTTTGTTAGCAGTGCCATCACTGAGATAATACCAAGCTCAAAGGCCTTGTAGAGACACTGGAAGCTATCCGCCCATCTTGCCACCACAGCTGGAGAGCTGCTGCCTGCAGCAAGCACCGGGGGTGGGGGTGGGGGGTGTTAGCCTTCTGGCTTGGGGTCCACCTATGGCTGACAGGCCTCCCAGAGCAGCATCCCGTCTCATAGTGCTGCCCTCTGTTTCTGAGACCCATTTTCCATTTTCCTGAAAACAAAGTGAGTAAAATGAAGGGAAAACAAACCAAACCCCTAGATTTAGTTCCCACCCCTGTGAGTAGCAGGGGTCCCCAATTCCAGTTCTGGGGGTCCAACGCCCTCTTCTGGCCTCTTCAGGCACTGCATGCCGCATGCATGTGGTACACTTCTATAATTTTTTTAATCAAAATGGCTCAGTGATTAAGAGCACCGGTTGCTCTTGCAGAGGACCTGGGTTTGTTTCCTGGTACCCATGTGGGGGCTCTAACAGCTACCAGTACCTACTGTTCCAGAGGATCCAATTCCCTCTTTTGGCCTCTATGGGCATGCATGGGTACACTTACATGCATGAAAACACTCATACACATAAAATAATGAATTTTAAAAAAATTAAGTGGTCTGAAGCTGGGCATGGTAGTACATGCCTTTAATTTCACCACTTGGGAGGCAGAGGCTGGTGGATCTCTGTAAGATCAAGGCCAGGTGGGGCTACTGGAAGACCCTGTCAAAAAAAAGAAAGAAAAGGTGGTCTGAATTGTTTCTAAGGGAGGCAGGTTAAGAACAGAACCACCTTTGGTGCACTGCACTTTTGTTTTTGCGATTTCAAGACCCTAAAGATTTTATTCCAATGCAAAGTTGCTTTACCACTAATGAAGTCAGCCGTGGTGTGAGCTTAGTGCTCAGCATGATGTTCAGGTAGGGGCAGTGGGCAGTCTTCAGGTCACTTGAGATGTGTATTTGGAGAGCATAAGGATCTTTGGGTTCTCTCCAGAGGATACTGACCCAGACCCTGTCTTCCTGCCATGCAGTGCTGTCATCCTCCCCTGTATACACTCTCACTGCTATGCCTTCTGCTGATGGGCCCTCATGAGAGCCTGGACCAGTAGGGCTGCCCCCATTGTGGGCTTTAATCTTCCAAAGCTGTGGGCTGAACAAGCAGTCTTCCTTTATGAAGCTATCTTCCACCTCGGGTATTTCACGATAGCAAAGAAAAGCAGACTAACACAATGTCTGACAAAGTAGCAGAAGCTGGCTCTGCCCTCTTTGTGCAACTGATGAGATTTTATGGAAGTATCCTGACACTGTGGTGGCTTCAATGGGTTGGCCAGGAGCTCGGGTGACCACCGCTTACAGAGATGGCCCCTCCTATGCCTGAGTCGCTCGCCCTTGC